CTCTAAAATCATACTACTGGAGAGAGCCCTATATGCGGTAAACGACTTTTTTGTTGATGTTTAATTATGAACAATTTTGAATTTTAAAATTTTGATCATCTCAAACACTGGTCAAAAATCAAGTATTTAATATTTTATAACTCTTAAAATTATATCTATTTACTGCTTACTGTTCTGCAATTGTCCATGCATGTATGTTCTCTTTGTAATTTTAATAACTGAAATTTTTTTGAATTGTATGATTTGTATTGTGTATTTTTTGTTGTTTCTATATATTTCTTTTTGTGCTTTTGTTTGTTTTGTGAGTGCTTTGTCCATGAAGCTGTTTTGGCTTTTTGCACAATAAAGCGTTGTTATGTTTATTTATTTTCTTTAAAAATCTCAATTTTTTATTGATTTTACTTTGGAAAATCATCCCTTGCTTTCTGAATGATGAACTGCACATTCCTTAAACTGTGACTGCACCATCATTGAACAAAAATTAGTTAGTACCGAAAGTACCAAAAAAAAGGGAAATCCCGGTTCCCAAGAGGCGTGGTATCGAAATTTCCGGTACCGAAAAACTGTCTAAGTTCCGGAAGCCCTAGTTACAACTGTTTGAAGCAATGTATCTATCTTTGAATAAACTCGGGATAAGTGAGAAATAAGACCCAAATAATATTGTTTATTTGATATTTTTTCCACAGTTTTTTGCTACAAAATAAAATTTATTATCAGATTTATAAACGTCTGACCCCGTGCTAAATACGAAATCTTCAAAATTGCGGAGACGCATTGACTACTAACATACGTGAGCTACGGGAGCACACACTTTTGTTTTTTCTTGATATTTTTGAAAATACTCGTACAAAACAACACATAACTGGTTCAAAGAGATAAAAATTTGTAATTTGCTTAAATCGTTTATGTGACACACAAAAGCAGAAACGTATTCTGTCAGGCGTTTACAACAATTTAAAACACTTAACAGAATCTACGTTGTTGAACATTCGTTGGCCTAAAGTATAGATTCTGGGGAATTAATAGTTATTACTGGAAAAAGCTGGATAATTCGTTACTAAGAGGGAAAAAACACATATCAAGAGGTCTTGGTTACATCACTTAAATAATTCGCTTATGCATTAAACTGTTAAAAACAAAATATTAGAACAAGCATTAGCCATTCTATTTTCGACTTACCTCAACTATTCTTAGAGGCTGAAATTACACGAGTAGTGATGAGCAAATGCAAGATCAAGACCATAGTCGAGTTGGTCTTGCAGTTTAATAGTAGTCTTGGTCTTGGTGTAATCAGTAGTCTAGTCTTGGTTTCGGTCTTGCTGCAAGCCTCTTGCATATCTTGCACTTTTTAATAGATTATTACTAGAGGCACTTTCTACAGACAATCTTTAAATTAGTTAAAGAAGTAAGAAACTATATTTGTCTAATGGAAATGTTATTTATTTTTCAATGTGGTCAATGGTCTTGCTTTTTGTGCAAGAACAAGACCACAAAATCAGTTTCGCTCATCACTATACACGAGCAAATAAGGATATACGAGTATACATATAGGACTTAACGTATACCGGGGTCTTTTAGAAGTGACTCACCCTTTTTCAGATAAACAAAAACGGGATTATTAAAAACCAGAACCCAGAACAAGACACGAAAAACATTGGATGATCAAATATATTTTTCTAAGGCTCCTTTATTAAAAATTCGTATTTTTAACACAGCCATGGCACTCAAGATTGAAATTTAAAATGCGTTTTTTTAAGCGAAAATGTCAAAAGTTGACATTTATATGTCGTGCTATTCAGAATGGCATTTTCTATCGAGTAACCCCCTGTATATATAATGTTGGTTAATACTTATTACTTAGTCACTTAATTACATTTGGACTATTTTATAATCGAAAGAAAACGGTGCTTGTTAATTACAATCGGTGACATTCCCCTATAATTTTATGTATAAAATGACAGCTATATCTCTGACACCGTTTTCTTATCATATTGTATTTGTAGGAATTAAGAATAAAATATTAATTAAATTAAAACCGGAAATGACTACAACTTTTGATTTTTAAATGGCACCCTCGGTATTTTTTTCTTTATTCGATACAAAATGACATTCTGAATGGAATATCATAACGTATCATATGTCAACTTTTGACATTCTCGCTTTATTAATTTTGACATTGACGATTCATTAATCGTATTTTAAAATTCAATCTAGAGTGTCATAGCCATGTTAAAAACACTACAGTACGTCTGTCCGTTCTGTAACTACGGGGTATCCGTGAGAGGGGAAACGATATTCTCTCGATGTTTTTCATAAAAAATTAGACGACGCGTCCCATCAATAAAAATTCGACAAATTTGCAAGTAGCCAATAAAATGAGTGGGCGGAGCGATTTGAGGTGACGTACTCGTCAAGTCGACGTATAAAATATATTGCTGTTTATTTAAATGTTTTTTGTCCGCATTCCTTTCATAGACACAGATCCAACAGACGTACTGCAATTCTTAATCAAGGAGCCTTGGAAAAATAGATTTGATTGCCTAATGTTTTTAGTGTCCTGTCATTAAACTAAACTCAGTTTAATCATCTGCTGATGATGCTAACATGGTTAGCGAAACGCGCGTCATCCATTGTAAAAGTAAAAGTGTTTTGGCGTATTGTGGTGATTTAGTGTTTTATTTTGCTGTGTAACACCAAAGGTTCCAACCCCCAACTGTAATATACTAACATACCAAATCTCGTCTTTTTTTGAACTGAAAAAATAAAAAAGTTATAGGGGTCAGCCACTTTTGAGACGCACCCGGTATAATTAGGTGTTATCAGAGATTCTGCCAAAAACTCTGCATCAAATAAGATTTTTTTATTTTCTTTTTCCTTGTTTAAAAAAACAAAAATTAATAATTAATTTATAAACGACTTAGTTTACGGTTTCCCTGTCAAATTTAACATTCCTTATTAAAAATATCGAAAATTATTAAAAAAATTTCTTTGGAATTTTTCACTTTATAATAGTTTCTGTATATTCTTTGTCAAATTTTGGAATATTTTGACTACTTAGTTTGCGAATATCATTTACTTAACAAATATTTAATATTACCTACTTAATCGACACTTCGTTTTTATAATAATAGATATACTATACATAACACCTTTATAACACTTATTTTTCTAAATATTTTGACTGCAACTGTTTATTTTGATTTCATAAATAAATGTTGCATTAAAGATTATCTACTTACTTGTGACTATATAAGATTATTAGGTTGTGAAGCAAAATAATTAAAAATTTCATTTTAAAAATTAAATTCGCATATGGTTTATTTGAAAATGTAACATGGGGTTCATTAACGACTCTTTTACTCAAAATACCAAGTGTGGGGTACCAAATTATTCGTAAAAAAATGCTAAAATAAAAATATACTGACGGTGGTAAAAATCAAAAGTTGTAGTCATTTCCGGTGAAACAGGAAGTGACCAAAAACAATTGAATACGTCAATCAATCCTAATTTATGTCATATACTAACACTAACATACCAAATCTCGTTTTTTTATCTAAAAAATTAAAAGTTATAGGGGTGAGCCACTTTTGAGACGCACCCGGCATTATATTAGAAAATTTTTAAAATCAGTTACTTCAAAAAGAAATTCAAGAAATTAAATATAAGTTAGATATTAAATATAAGTGAACTCAACTTATGACATACTTTATTCTTGTTTTTCAAAATGTTTCTTTTTCACAGGCATGTGGATTCTAATAAGTAATTTCATTGAAAGCTTTCCTAGAAATTCTACGGGTATATGTGAATAAACTATTTTGAATATTTTGACAAACGTCGAAAAAAAATATTACTATGTCTTATACAGGGTGAGTCTTAAATAAGTGCAAATATTTTCAGGGCTGGTAGATCTCGATAAAAGAGACCTATTTCTCTTAACCATTTTTCAAATAGGTCCAAAATAACCGAGTTATTTAAGTTTGAAAATTTAAAAAAAATGATTTTTTTTTGAAAAATTTTGAGAGCCACCGGATTTTTTTCTGTATTTGCATCTCTGTTAGTGCCGTAACCATAGAGTAAAGTTGTAACTATGGTGGAAAAATCTGCAGTTCTAAAAAGTTTTCGAAAAATATACAGGGAAATTTAAAAGAAAATGCACGATTTTCAATATCTCTTTTTTGCGAAAAAAACCTCATAGACGTGTTTCTGGGGTCAAAATATACCACCCCTTGAAATATTTGCACTTATTTAAGCCTCATCCTGTATATGTATTTTAAAAATATCGTTAAGTATACAGTATGTCCCCGGATTGTCTTTACAATAGGAAAAACTTTTTTATTATTAACATTTTGAGAAAAATGCATTCTTCATGAAAATTTTTGCTTGTTCTAAAATGGTTAATTCCGTTTATAAATTTCCATACAGTTTTAGAGAAAATTTAAAAAAAACATGAAAATATAGTTAAGTCCTAAAAATCAAAATGCGTTTCTATGGTAATATAAATCTGTGAATATAATTGAATATAATGTCGTTTTCATTCCTTGATAGATTGTTACTGATAAAATTTTAATTATCGCCATATTTTTTGCTGTTAAAGTGTTAAAGAAGCACAAAAATTATTTGGTTCAATGCTAGGGAAAGGGCAATAATAGTTAAAGGAAAATGTGATGCTTTAACAACAGGGCAAAAAATATGACATTGATCGAATTTAAGAATAACCATATATCAATGTATGTAGAAATTAGTATTTTATAAAATATATTCCATACGATCGAAAAAACGGCGTCAAAGATGGCTGGGGAATGACCATCAATGATAATTTTAGAGAAGTCAAGTGAGAGACATCACTTGGCGAACTACCTAACAGAACACTATTTGCACACAAAATAAAACACAATTTTCAATTAGATTGTTATATTTATTCAAAAATGGTTGTTAAACCAACCATCTGCTGATAAACATTGTTAAACTCAATTACATATAAACATTAGTGCACATTTAACTTGATGTAAGTCTATATTTTGTCTACATTAATAAATAAGAAACATAATATTAAAGAAAATAAGAACATGCTCTTTAACAATAGTATTAGATACTGTCCAGAACCATTTAGTCATTTTTTATTACAATATTTAACTATTTGTTACCCCCATATCAATATCTCAACTCTACATTACAATAAATAAAATAAAAATATAGTCAGAAAAGCCTACAGTAAATTTATTCCACATAGACAACAGGTCACAAAATATATTTATTTATAGCCTTTAGAATATATTTAAGTTCTTAATACTAAAAGCAATAAAGAAAATATCATTGAAAATAAACAATAGGCACTCTTTTCTATAACCAGTCTTACAAAACTTAAGTTTTACCGAAAAATTGACAAATAAAAATCTTTAGATTTTTAAGTTACATTGAAATTGAAAGCTACCTATACACCATATACAAACTAGAATGCCTATACATTGCCAAAAGCAGCTTTCAATTTCAAAGGTACCTACGTATTCTGTAACTTTATTTAGTCAAAATTTGGTGAAATTTCGAGATTTATTATTACATCAAAATAATTGCCCTCATTTAGAAAACTCCACTTAACTAATAAAAACAGTATTGATAAAAATATTTAATCTAATTAATTAATGAATATGTATGAAACAGAATACTGAAAATATTACTCACTCTTTACAATATTGTGAAATATTGTAGCTATTATTTTTTTTTCTTTTTTTACTATTTAAGTAAAAAATTTTTTTTTTAATTTATGGTATTAATAAATCTGTTTTGAATATAAATTCTAAAGTCTCATGACAAAAAATATCGAAACTACATATCACAGGCAACATATCAATATCATCACTTGATATACGAAGTGCTCTGACTTTCCCCAAACATGCTTTTACTTGAAACACTAAATAGACACATAATTTAAATTGATTCAGTGATTTTTTTAATGATTAATAAACGAAAATAACTTAAAATGATAACGAAAAGTGCAGGGATGGAGAAAACACAGAGCTCTTTCCGAAAGACTGATATAAATCATTCAGATCTGGCCTAAAAATAAACCTACATTACTTGCACACTGGAAACTGGAACACTACACTAACGTGCACTTGAATGAAGAAGCGATAATATAGGCGTTGCTAGGACGCAGAACCGTCCTGTTTGACCTCCTTGGCCCCATTAAATCATGAACTCGTTCTCTCTTCCTCCTTGCCATGCTTCATCGACTTCTTCAGTTTATCCAGAAGCCTGTTATGAAACTTGTTCAAGCTTGTACTCGAAGAGGAAGAGTTCTTTGGTGGTGAAGAGGCTGTACTTTTAACAGGGCTCTGTAAACTGTTTGAACTTGTCCTGGAATAACTGGCTGAATACGACCTGCCGTACTGTTTAGAGGACATTTTGTCAGGAACGGATCGGTGGGAGGATGTTATGAAATCGGGCGAAGTTGACATGCTGCTCGGTCCCTCCGATCGACACTCAGAGACTTTTCTAGAACGGCACGAATTCGTGTTGGAACACTCGGATTGCCTTCGACTACGATTGGACTTGTAAATGTCCCAATCGTTCTTCACTACCGGCATCATAAAAGCCATCTTTTTGTTTAAGAATGTTCTGTTGATAAACAAACACACGAAATTTTTCGAAAACTGACGGAACTGTCACACCACTAATGAATCGTACTCAAATAACGTTTTTCGATCGAGCCGCGAGCTTTTATACGGTTCGTTTTGGTTGGAGGGGATTCGGATTTATCTCTAATCGGAAACTTTGGTTATTAATAATAATCACACGCGTTAATTCGTTTAGTGGAAAGTAAACAAACACTATATGTTTACCGCCTGTGCGAAAAATTTTCGAAATATGGAATTGGAGCAAAATCGGCACCGACGAACCCTACGAAGAAACAGGACGATTTGACAGGATTTGAACAATTTCCAGACAGAGGGCGCGATAATCGGCACGTACGCTACATGTCGATTGTCACGTAGGTTTTCTACCTTATTTTTTTTAAATTCTAATTGTTTATTACAAAGATAGGTGTCGCAAATGTTCCAAAATAGAAAAAAATCATATTTGAATTCAGGAGTAATGAGCAATAATTTTAATTTGTAAAAACCCTTTAAAACTACCTAAATGTAGGTATTTTAATAGCAGCCTTCTTGTTTATAATCATTTCTTATACGTCTATGAATTACATCAGTGTACATAATTATAAAATAATTTTTTACTACTTTTCGCAGTTTTATTCTTGAAGAGTAGAGAATGCTTTAGCAGGGATTAACAAGGGAGAAAAACACTTAGGTATTTGTATATTTAGGACGATATATATATTCCATAATATTAATGACTATTATCTGAACTGAACTTTGGAACTGAACGAGAAAGGCAATTTTAATTATAATTATGTATGTATTATTATTTATTTTTCTATTATAAGTTCTATTTACTTTAAAATTATATCTATTTTGGGTATTATATGCAAGAAGTAAAATATACCGTATGATTGAAAAAAGAACGGCGTCTAGTCGGCTTAGAAATGAGCATCGATGACATTCTCCATATAATTTTAATTTTATATATAAAATGACAGCGATCTTCATTTCATAGTCAACGCTGACGCAGTTTTTTTTCTCGATCATATAGTACCGTAATGACGATCGATGACATTCCAATATAATTTTACATATAAAATGACAGCGATCTTCATTTCATAGCCATCGCTGACGCCGTTTTTATTCGATCATACGGTACCTTTGATCTGTGCTTTGATACGGTACCTATAATGGCACAAACTATATTAGATTAGTCTGTGATAACAGGTGATAATGGCAATATCGGAAATAAAAGTAACTTTTGTCTCTGGCAATTTATTTAAAAGTAAGATACTCATTAAAAAAAAAGCGTCATGTCATTGCATTGAAAATTACGACTATTTAGTCAACAAAATGAGCCGATCTGAAATACGTCATATATATTATTTTAATTAAATTAAAAATATAAAAATCAATGAAGATGTAAAATCATGTAAAAATAAAGTAAACTGTAGATATAATCAAGTATCGTATTCAAGATTTCGTAACAAGTACCGTAATTCTAAAAAAGATGGCGCTGTAGTAGGTGGTGGCGTGATTGTGGATTGTGTCAATGATCAGCTGTCGCCCGATTTCTGATTACCACGGTTAACCTCGAATTTCTAAGATTTGAGGTGGCAAAATTATGTTTTTAATTTAACAATGGAAATGAATTAAGAATTTGAATATCTTATCGTCATCAGGGCGTCATTACAAACCGAACCAAAATGGATCTACACAAACCTATAGATTTGGGAAATAGGGTACGTAATATTTCTGTAATGCAACGTTTGTTGATATTCATGTTTTTTCAATTTCTAGACCCTTGAAGAACTAACTTCTGAAGAAAAATTAAGGTGTGATGTCAGAAATTATCCATTAAAGTATTTTAGGACTATTTAGACTTTTTTAATGCAGGAAACTTAAAAATTATATTTTAATTTGAGTTTGACAAACAGTTCATAAAGTTTTACAAAGTTTTTTTCTATTTAAGATATGATCACCAGAAGTTACATGAAAAACATAAAGGGCATGAAAAAATGCACGCCGAAATGGTTGTTATACTAATCCTTACTTTGGTTGTGGCACAATTGGTACTTTTAGAATGGAAGAAACGATATTACAAAAGTTATTCAGTAAAATAGCATACTTTAGAAAGATAATTTCTTTTTCTAATTAGTTTTTTATTACAGATAGTCACGTTGTTAGGTATGTGGTTAGTACCTATTGTAGTGTGTTTGAAAAATCATTGGTGGAGATTTATATTTATATGGTTACTGTTTTCGTGTATAACAGGGCTTATTGTTAGAAAAGCTGTCCAAAGACCTTTGGAAGGAACCACACCAAGGTGAAATAAATATAGTTGTTTTTACAGTCTATTAATTATTAAAAGCTAATATAATTTTGTTCTACTTTATTTTTTAGGCTCGTGTACAAATGGTTTCTACTACTTTATAAGCTAAGTTACATATTGGGTATTGTAGGCTATGTAGTAATGATGGCAGTGTTTTTTGGTTTAAATCTAGTCTTTAATGCTCAAGCCAACATATGGATGGACGTAGCATTGTTATTCATTTTCTACGGATTGTATTATGGTGTACTTGGTAGAGATGTTTCAGAAATATGTGCTGATAAAATGGCGTCTCATATAGGGGTATGTGTTGTAATGAATTAAAATACGTGCTTGTTTGAAAAATAAATATAATTTTTAGTATTATACTGCTCAAGGAATGCCTACAAAAAATCTACATCCAAATGTATGTGCAATCTGTGGTAATAGACTGTTAGTTTCGACTGATGAAGAGGGTGTTATAGAAAATACATATAGCTTAAGTTGCGGGCATGTGTAAGTATATAGCTAATTTGATTAGATAATTAATTCTTTGCAAATTTGTGAATTATAGGTTCCATGAATTCTGTATAAGGGGCTGGTGTATAGTGGGCAAGAAACAGATTTGCCCCTACTGCAAAGAAAAGGTAGACCTTAAGAAAATATTCTCAAATCCATGGGAGAAGCCCCATATACTATTCGGAAACCTTTTGGATATGATTAGATGGCTGGTGGCATGGCAACCGATGGTCTTGTTTTTAGTTCAAGGTATAAATTATGTCCTTGGCTTGGAATGATAAACCTGAATAAAGCGTTTGTTACCAAATTTATTGTTGTTTGATTTGTTGGTAGAAAAATCAAACTATATTAATAGTTATTGTACAGGGTGAGTCTTAAAGAGGTGCAAAAGGTTTTTTAATGTTTAGCCTTGTTCATATATTCTTTATTAAGAATACAATACAAGGTTCCCAGTAAACCCAGAAAATATCCAGTGGTTCTCAAAATTTCATCATTTGGTTCTCAAAATTTCATCATCATAATCATTTTTTAATATTTTCAAAGTAAAATAACTGGTCCAAAATAATAAATTATTTTGGACTTAAAAATGGCGAAGAGAAAATATGTTTTTTTATCAAGAGACCTACCAACCCTGAAAATATATACTTATTTAAGACTCACCCTGTATATTTCATTAAAAATAAAATTAATCTGGCATTTATTTTAATGCAATACATTTTTTTGCCATTTCATTTACTGAAATCTGAAAATAACTACATAATAAAAAAGCCATAAAATATTTATTTTCGTATAAAAATCTCTATCTGTTAAAATTTCAATACAAAATAAATTTACTTATATTAATCTGAACATATGCCGCACACTGCATTATTATTTTTCAAACAAAAACTATGGAAGACATGCTGACACAGTTTTGGGCTCTGGCACTCAAAAATGTCATTTTTTAAAGGCAGAGTACACATAGTACATTTTCTTTTATTATCGACTTTTGTACAAGGATCACCACATGTGTTGTATTTTCTGTTAAAATATTTCTCTAAACAATGCTGAAACTAATAAAAGAAAAATTATTATATTTTATGTACAGGGTGTCCCATTTTCCTGTGTTTCATGGGTTTTCTCGTTTATGAATAGAGGTAGGGATATATTCGATACCAATTAAACTTTTAGTTACGTAATCGAGGGCGCGATTTGTAAATTCATTGTTGCCAACCATGGACCTATTCGGCGTCGGGCTGACTCACCGGAATTTAAATTTCCTTAAAATAAATAAATAAAAGTTGCCACATTTATTTATTTATTTCTCGACATTGTCATTCGTTTTAAAACTTTAGTTTTGTATTACGAGTTTTTAGTTAAAATAAATAATGTTGTGATACTTTAAGCTTAGAAATGTTTACTAGCAGACCTTGCAGTCGAACATTGTTCTTTTTAGAACCTCTTTTAGTGCGAAGTGTATAACATAGCTTCCCACCAAGCAAAAAACCTCACATTACATTTGCAACATTGCAGTCAACCCCCAAACAGTTTGCTCTGTAATGTTAATTTCTAAACGTTGCGTCGTGATTGATGAAACCTTGCTACAGAAACATTGTTTTTGGATGGTGATTAAAACGTTTTTTCTGCAACATTGCAACAAAGATTCAAATTAAATATCCGCGCAAGTTAATAATAATTAATAATATAACAAATATACCATAAGATCGAAAAAAACGGCGTCTAGTTGGCTTGGAAATAAATATCGATGACATTCCCCATATAATTTTACATATAAAATGACAGCGATTTTCTTTTCATAGCCATCACTGACGCATTTTTTTATCATACGGTATAAGTTAGAAGTTAGGTTAGGTTAACGCACTTGTTTTTTTACGTTTTTGGTATCACGTTTTATGCATTTCGAATGAGATTTTAATGAATGTAAATGTAAGTATAATTTTATTATCATGTGTGTTTTAATAATGCTTAGCCATGAATAAGTATAACAAATTTTGTTTAGTTTGTTTATAAGCTAAAATTGTTTTATGTTAGCTTTTAGCCAACTGAAAATTGAAGTAGATAAAACCAGGATACGAATATATCAATCTAATGATAAAATCACAAATAAAGGGGCCTCAAAGATTACTGTCACAAGAGGTAAGTTACTCATTGTTTTATATACATTTATTACAACTGATTGTTTTTATTTTTACTACTATAGAAATGATTGGATATAGATTTCAAAACTTTACTGAAGAGGAATTTGAAACTATGAATAAGACAAGTCAACATGCGAAGACAAAATATGAAAGATCCAAAAAATCAATTAAAATATAAGTTTGCCTTTCCTTGTACATATATTTAATGTTATACTTTCCTTTTGTATTTTTGAATAAGAAATATATAATAATGTTTATACTGTACCTATATATTTTGTATTATTTCAGACATTCAACTTTAAGATTTTTTTAGAAATTCGACTCAGAGGTCGGAGTTGTGTAATTCCTTATTTAATGAGTAGCCGAAAAGATCAGTAAGTTCTCAGTACTTGACAGTATTTTTGATATTTTTGAAACAAGTAAGAGATAATAATTTCTAATTTTTAATTGTTTTTTTTGCAATTTGTTTGACAAATTCGACTTTCTTGGTAGGGATATATTTATACCGAGTATTTTTAATTTTTCTAAGTGAATGGATATAGAGATATGCATATTTTTATCAATATTGTTTGTTTTTCGACAATACAATATTAGTAAAAGTATATTATACCTATCTGAAAGTCTACAATTTAATACCCATTAATGTTTCTGTTGATTATAACCTATTACCGATGTATTATTGTTAACATAAAATTGCTAATGTTCATAAGAAAAAACTGTTTCAATAATTGATATTGGACAATAAGTTTTGAAACATAGGTACAATATAATTTTGCCAATATTGTATTGATGTAAAATTAACAATATTGCTAATACATCTCAAATTAGTACTTTCTTGAACGTTTCAATAATATTGTGAAATCTTCTCACGAGGTTGTGACAAGGTTTCAATAAACTTGCATTAACATTTTTTTCAACCTTGCACTGCAATGTTATTTGGCGGAAGATTAAGCTAACCTGCCACCTTGCATACAATGAAAAAAGAAATGTTACACCTTGCTTTGAGAAGTTTTGGTAATGTTCCAGCAATAAGTTTTGCTTGTTGGGAATAGCCGTAAAAAACTCATTGAAACTTTCTTAGAATATTTTGAACGGGAAAGTGGTAGTAATGGCCCTTTATGTTCCTTAAGTGCTGTTAGAAGGTGAGTTTTGTTAATGTAAATAATAACTGTTTATGTATTTATAATTAATTTATTTTTGTTTCCTACAATATTTTGATTAAAAGAAAATATTAAGTGGGCAACGCTGTGCCGGTCAAGCTTAATCACGCGACTAAAAGTTTATTTGGTATGAACTGTTTGTATTTATCTCGGTTATCTTATAACTTATAGAAAAGGTGAAAACTGAATCCCATAGAGTTTTTCACGTAGAACTCAGTGGCGTAACTAAAGTTGGCTGCAAGCTGTCATTTTTGAAATGTGACCTAACCTTTTTTTTAATAATACCCTGTATATAATTTTTTATTTTATTTGACTTGCTATATGGTTTTTTAAAAATATATACAGAGGCGGCCGGTTTAAACTAGGTAAAATTGTGGTTATTGGGTATTCCACGCTAGATTCTATGTGTAGAATTATTGCACAAGTACATAAAAAATATCAATAAGTATAGATAGTCGTGCTAGCTAAAAGCTGCACAAGTTCATTTTCGGTGCAGATTATTAAAAAACAGGATGGAAAGCAAAATTATCTGGTTAAATTAAATAATATAATAATACTCTTTTAAACTATATAGGATGATTTATGTTAAAAGTTAAATAACGCAGTTTTTACCTTATTCATGAAAATAAGTATAGATTATAGTATATTTTTAAAAAGCTTATAATAAGACAAATAAAATAATAAAAAAATATATACAGGGTGTCCTATTTAAAAAAACAGATAAGTTTGAGTAATATTTTAAAAACGACACCTCCAGCGATAAACTAGTTACGTCACTGGATTCTACGTGAAAACTCTACGGCACTCAGTTTTCACCTTTTCGATAAGTTATAGGATAACCGAGATACGAGGGGAGTTGAAAAATGCAAAATTTTCAAATTCGCCCTATAGTTCATGAACTAAGTGGGCTAGGACAAATCGGTGTCTAGCATCTTTAGTTTTATAAAAAAGTAGCACTGTAATCTGGAAACCGCATCTTTGTATCTCTACTCATAAACGAGAAACCCTATAAAACACACGAAAATGGGACACCCCGTACAATAAAATAGAACCGATCATTAAATAAAAATAACTATGGAAGAAGCCAAATGCTATAAAGACGGAAGGGACATCATGGTAACCATTTTTAAACAGCTTTGTACCAGTTTTGATTGAATTTCACCTTATTACAACCATATTAAAACCCTTTCGCGATTTCACCTCTCACCAAAATTCGCTCGGGTACTCAATTATTGAAATAACCGACATCGCTTGATTATGAACGAGCGATGCAAGTGACGAGTTACGAGCGACGAACACAAGCAATCCTAGAATGAAACTGAAATCCGATTTTAATGTGACATACTCGATAAAAAGCCGAGCTCCAATAATTTTCTACGCATACTTTGCAGGTAGCAAATTTATACGACGCCGTATATATATTTGTATCTGTTATTAGTTATTTGTAGTTGCGTATCTGAGGGACAAAATTTTACGACCTACATCGACAATGCTTTGAAATAAACTAAATCAAGCGATCAAGCGAATCGCTCGTCGCTTGCTACTTGCCATTCATCACCGAAAGAATGTGTCCTGCGCGCGCTACTTACTGCTTGGCGCATAGACTTAAAATAAAATATAGACTACACTATTTACATCTCAACGCGGACAGACAATATTTTTTGTACACATGTTTACTTCTGGGTACAGTCGACCGAGCCTTCCTCATCCAGCCTATGTTGTCACGTCTTTAATATTATCAATATTTTTTTCCTTGTTATACACATATATTGAGATATTAATATTACAGTTTAATGAAGTAGGTTTTAATATTCCAGAGATGTATTAAATAGTCCTTATACTACTAAATTATAAGTCGGATACTGTTTAAAAAGGATAAGTTTTTTTACAATATGACAACACCGATTAGAGGCGAGGGAGCCTATTCATTCATTTATTACCTTGTAGTACGTGTCGCACGTGTGCGGTAAAGCTTTGTTGCCGCTATCTCCCCGGCTGTATTAACGCATTTTCTTAGCTTGTAGTTCTTAAGTGTTTATTTTATTGACTTTTTCTGTTCAAGAACTATAAAATATGGTTCGCCAGTGCCAAATTTGCAAGAAATTTGACTTAAATAATCCATTTAAGTCTTGAAACGACTTTTGACCGGTAGGCAACTCTCAATTTACCCATTGAGAGTCAGTGGCGTTGTTGTAGAAAGGCGCTTATTTAGATAATATTTTAGTAAAATGTAAAATCTGAATTTTTTCTTACATTACATTATTTACTTACTTACATTGTAACAAAATCATAATTATAACCCTGTTAATAATTAATAATGTTTTTATTAAAAATATATTCCGGTTTATTCTAAAATTATCTTCAGAATCTAAAATAACATACAAGAATTTTAAAATGATATTACATTATGAAACAATATTTTTTAATATACCGGGTCGTCTCAAAAGTGGCTCACCCCTATAACTTTTTTCTTTTTTCAGATAAAAAAAACAGATTTGTATGTTAGTAGGTATATGACATAAATTAGGATTTATTGGACGTATTCAATTGTTTTTGGTCTCTTCCTGTTTCACCGAAATGATTACATCTTTTGATTTTTAAAGGCACCCTCGGTATATTGCTACTTTATTCGATAAAAAATGATACTCTGAATAGAATGACATATCATATGTCAACTTTTGACATTGTCGCTTAAAAACAAATCCTATTTTAAATTTCAATCCAGGGTGCCATGGTTTTGTTAAAAACACTAAGTTTTAATCAAGGAGCCTTGGAAAAATAGTTTTGATCGTCTAATGGGTTTCGTGTCTTGTCTAGGCCGGTTAAAAGATGTACAAATCGTATTTTTAATCATACATATGTCAATTTTTTCAAATGGAACAAGGGTGACTCATTAGCATATTTGGAAAAAGCATTTTTTTATGAATATATTGATACCACACACTTGGTATTTCGAGTCAAATTGTCGTTATGAACCGCGTGTTACAATTACAATTAAACCATATGCGAGAATGTCAAAAGTTGACATATGATATGTCATTCTATTCAGAGTGTCATTTTCTATCGAATAAAGTAGAAATATACCAAGGGTGCCGTTTAAAAATTAAAAGTTATAGTCATTTTCGGTGAAACAGGAAGTGACCAAAAACAATTGAATGCGTCAATCAATCCTAATTTATGTCATGTACTAACATACTAAATCTTGTTTTTTTATTTGAAAATATAAAAAAATTATGGGGATGAGCCACTTTTGGGACGCACCCGGTATAGTAAAGACAGTACCGAGTTAAATAAATGTAGTTTTCATTTTATCCACTTCCTATCACCTTCCTTGCTTTAATGGAACAAATTTATGTTTTCTCTAATTTACATAAGACATCACTTAACCAGAAAAAAAATTACAACAATCATATTTTTTTTCTCTCCCTGTGGCCGATTCTATTATATCTGTGGAATAGATCCTGTTTTGATTAATATTAGGGGTTGTAAATGTTTACTAAAATTAATAATTTATTATTAATTTCAAAAATTACGCAATTTCGATTATAAAACTTCTTCTATAACGTGTATTTTATTATTTTTTATCCTTTTTGGACTCTAAGACGTTTTCTCTAAACTTTTATTTAAAAAACCTGTCCTAAATCTTAATAAAATATAAAAAAGTTTAAATACAATATATTTTTAATTTAATTATAGCTTCATTAAAATAAAAAAATTACCCGGCTATGATACGGAAAGTTCAGGTGTACTTGAGAAACGAAAGACAGTGTTGTGTTTCTCGGCAGAGTCGTCAGGGAACGACCGTTACAACAGAGACAACCTATCTATCGCTCGTGTCGTACTCGTTATAACCTAAAACAATAACACAACAATAACAAGACATTGTCTGACCGCATGTTCCAGCTATTTATGAATGAGATGCTCAGTCTATATTTTATTTTAAGTCTATGGCTTGGCGCGTGGCGTTAACGAGTACTTACAACAAGCGACGGTCGAAAAGCCGTATTTTTAAATACGAGCGATATTTCCCTCGAGCGATCGCTCGGTTATTGCAATCACTTGGAACTCGAGTACTCGATTATTGAAATTAATCGGTTTTTCCCATCACTACTTGACATACTCCTTCCATAGTTTTTATTCAAGGTTATTATATTAAATAGGTTGCCTCGTAACTTTGGACCAGTCACAGTAGTTGGCGCGATGACGTCAGCTAGCGTGATATTTAAAATATCTATTAACAAAATGTTTAATAATAATAACAATTACACAAGTTAAATTGTTTTTCTATAGTCTTTATTTATTTTTCTCTAATTTAGCTGACATTTAAAATTTTTAAGCAATATTTGTATTAAAAAAAAATAGTTTTAGCTTTTTACCATGTTAAAATATCGCAAGCTAGTCGAAATAATTTATTATACATATACATCACTCAGCAAAAACAATACTGAAAATTATAGGCTGTTACAGGTAGGAATGATCTCCATTTCTAAGGAAAATTTGATAAATAATTTTAAAAAACTATCTAGTTCATCAATTATAATACGTTAAGTACACTAAATTTTTAAAAATATAGTATATCTACTAAAACTGTCCTATAATCCACTCAAATGCACTTAATACACGGAAAACCTTTGAAAAACAATGTAAAATTATTTGTAAACAAGCCGAAAACTGTTGAGTACCAGACGATGACGCGCAATATGGCGGCTAATGTCAGGTTACCAGGCAACCTATTTAATTTAATAACCTTGATTTTTATTCACTGCCGTTTATACCGTATGATCGAAAAAAATGGCATCAGCGATGGCTATGAAATGAAGATCGCTATCATTTTATATGTAAAATTATTTGAGGAATGTCATTTCCAAGCCAACTGGACGCCATTTTTTTTTAGATCATACGGTAGTATATATTAATAAAATATTGTTTTACCTCATTATAACTTTCACCTTCCAAATTCTCAACCAATTCAACTGAAACTTCGACATATTTTTTAACATCTTCATTTTCTATTTTAAACGAATTTGCAAAAATACATGCCTGATAAAATCTAGCATCTAGTGCACCTTTAGGAATATTTTTTTCAAATTTTCTCAATATTCTAATAGCACTAGTTGCTCCTAACGACTGCAAAACAATTTTTCCCATATCATTCCAACTGATCAAACCATCAATATTGATATCTTTATCACAGTTCAGACACAGTCCTTTTCTGAGTTTGACATAATATCCAAGCACATCATACCATCTGTCATACAATATTTGCTTACAGTTTTCTTTAAACAAAACTTCATCGTTATATTGTATTAATAGACTTAAATTTAGACCGTGTATTTCAGATTTTATCTGATACCTTAACATATATGGAACTTCTTGAAAGACTTGTTTTTTGTGGTTTTTAAGGCCAAGTAAATCCAAAGCAGTTTTATAATATTTAGGAGTAAATTTATGACAATTTGGCAAAGGATAGCCACAACTACATGAGTACTTTATTGATTTATTAACAGAAAAAACAATATTTTTCAAATGTTCTAAACTCGTATCAGATAATTTCTCTACAACTACATTTTTCTTTAGTATTTGATTCATAAATTGATCATCACACCACTGATTTGGATCTTCATTAATTTCCTTTAAAGAATATTCAATAAAATCTTTAAATAAGACAATTAAATCGTCAGGAGCGGATGTTTCTTGATAGACCCTGTTTAGTTCAGGAATTTCAATATTTTTGTGAGTTTTGTTCACTTTATATTGTCTGAGAAGTGTTCTAAATTTATTATTGGTATTATCTATTTCTATTAAATCTTTCTGGGCAATGCTTGGTTCTTCATGCTCTACGATTTTATTTCTCTCTATAAACTTTTTATTTTGCTCATCAATGATTTCAAAAACAGACTCAAGTTTCTCTAATAATACGTTATCAGATATTTTCTTTTTCAGAACTCCTAATAAATATAAATCTTGGGAAGTCTGTAAAAGTTCTTTTAATTTTTCATAGTATTTTACACATATTTCTGCACAAAAAGTATATTCTTCCATGTATAACTTTTTGAGTATCAAATTTTCCAAATTTGACAGAGAAAATACCACTACTTCTAAATTGCTTTTCCAAACATAAATAGTTTCATTTATAATTATAACATTTTTAATACCTTCGGCAAATTTTAACCAGAATATTAATTTATTTTCAGTTAAATTCAAAATATAAATTCCCGATGTATCAAAAGTTAAAATGCAATTACTGCAAAATGGAAATATTTTTTGAAATGACACGTCATCAGGAATTCCATTATTTTCTATAAATTTATCTGGGATTTTTTTATCAGGATCTATATTAATAATGTTATGAGAGAGTTTATTTTTGACAGATTCTTTAAATTGATATGTCATAATGACTTGAGCTTCTGTGTTTGCTTCCCATAACCTCAAACCCGGTCTAGCACAGAATATTCTACATTCTTCTTGTAAGGAAATCTCAGAATCATGATTTCTGTTATTTATAACTAAAATAATCAAGAAATGATTTAAACAACAGTGAAAACATTGAATAACAAGACTAAGAAAATACTAAAACTTTTTTAGTTCAATTTTTGTAGTCAACAATACATTTTGTTTGACATTTCATTTTACATTTTTAAATTTGAATTTTTGCGCTTTCTTCAGTTTCATGTAGGTTCTATCATGTTAGCATCATCAGCACTCAGCAGATTATTAAAATTTAGTTTTAACAATCTGCATAATGATGCTAACATGGTTAGCGAAACGCGCGTCTAGTGTTAAATGTAGTGTTAAATATAGTTAATGCTGTTCCAACTGCTGAACCAAAGGTTCCAATCCCAACAGTTACTGTAACAATTGGAGTTATATGAAAAGTGAATAAATCTAAAAAGACATTGTGTCACAACCACAACTTAAAATAGAATGAGATTTTAGTGATGAGAAAGTGGGTTAAAGATTAATTACTTGTGCTTCCTGTGATCATTACTAGGCAAAAAATAACATAAAACATAATGGAACAACTATGGGAACAACCCTTCAATAGTATGTAATATAGTTATAATATGTTACAAGTGGTAAACCAGATAAACCAATCAATTATGCAATTTATTTATATGCAGTGTATATTAGTCCATTTCCGTGGCCTGTACTTTAATGCATACGACAGAGATAGATATATACCACCAGTTGACAGACAGAGAAACAAATTAAAAAGCGGCATACATTGTTGCCGGTTCGTACGAGAAATAAAATAATAAATGAAGATAATATATCTTAACTATTTAAGACAGTTGTTTAAGAATCTATTACAGCTGTAGTAAAATGAGTAACTAATTGTGAAAAATAAAGTTCCAACCCTAGATGCAACATTTTTCGTAAATATCTACTTGTGCGGTTTGAAATCTTGATGCAAAAACTGGCAATACCGCATAGAAGAAATGTATCAACCTAACTTTTATCTCTTTTTAATATATTTGATTTTCCATTTAAGCCGTCTACATCACTGTCTTACAAGTTAAAATTCAGACCACCGAGTTTTTATAACCAAATCGATACATCTATGTGTATATGTGATATATTTAATTATGTTTTTACTCTTGCATTTTCGTATTTACATACTAGATACTTGCCAAAAATAATTAGCATATGTGTGTCAAAATGGCTTTGTTCTTTCAGTAGCACATCTCTATTAAATAATAGTATTTATTTTTGTTAGAAATATATCTATCTCTTAACAATTTTAATAACTAATAACATTTACTACTGACTCACTGTACAACAAATCCAGCAAAATATTCAGCCAACTTTTCTTTATATTTTAACACATTTTAAATAAAATGAACGCCACTGATAATGCAAAATAATAAAGTCTTTCTTAGTCTTCTTATTCAGTGATTGAAAATAATGTTGTATACTCACAAAAACAAGCTCCATAAGCTCCGTTTCTCAATTTTTTTCCTAATTGAATATAACATCCTCTTTCCGTGTCGCAAAAATATGTTTTTGTATACGTCGAAACTAACAAATAGTTGTTATAAGTATCTATTTGCACTATTGCAGAGTCCAGCTTCATAACAGACTCGGAAGGCACTTGAAATATTGTCTTGGCCTGTAAATAAATTTACCTTAAATCTTTGCAAGTTAAAAACTTGTGAAAACATCACTAACCAACGAGGAAATGATTGTGGCAACTGATACTTTCCCTGAATCATCACCTGTGTATAGTTTGTTTCTATTCCATTTCATATAAGTAATATTGTTACCTTCGTGTTCATTAAATGTCTGACATTCAACGTTTGAATCAATGAAATTTTTAAATATCAAAATTAGTCCATGGGAGTTTGCTATGCTTAAGTATTTTTCATCAACAGAAATAGTTATTAAATCGACACAACCTCCCTGAAAATTATTGAGTCCAAAATAGACCAAAGTATTGAATCTCAAAATTTTGTTTTTACCTTACTGGGAATGATTTTAAAAAACTCACAAGGATGACGTTTGAAAATATAAATACTACCACTGGTAGCTCCAAAAACAACAAAGTTCTGTGATACAAAAAATGATTTCGGCTGAAAAAATTGAAAGAAAAATTATTGACATAAAAATGTACATAAATAATATTTGAAACAGGAAGTATTTAAAGGCTGTAAAAGGCTAAATTCTTAAAAAATCAAACAAATTTGTGAAACTAATAACATAAATAATTCCAAATTAACTTACCTTAACTCTTTGCATTGAATTAAAAGTTTCAGTTATTCTATTGTTTAAGTCATCTGTAAATTCTACAAATATATCATTACTGTCCATTCTTTTAAAATATCAAAATAAATAAATAATTTTACATCCAAAAACAAAACTTTAATAATTTGAGGTTAGAATAGAATTTTCTTGGTTTGACAGGAAAAGAAAGTAAGTTTTGATAATCAATATTTTCATACATCAGAGAAATAAGTATGTATAGAGGACTCGAACTTTATGTTGTAAATAATTGGAATTGGAACATCACTAGATCACTGGTATCACAGAATATATATGCAATTAGAAATAAGAATAGGCTAGTATAATAGAAAAATTATGACATATGAAAGTAGTTTCCAAAAATTGTAATTATAAACCGGGTATTTCATTTAAAATAATAAAGATGCTATTACTTTTTAAATGATGCGGCAACATTGTAACTCTCTGAAAATACAGAGTGTCCTAATATTCCGTGAACATAAAACTACTAGGTACGCATTTTTTGAATCAAAATAAGTTCATTGGACACAATTTACCTCTATACAAAAGTGCTTTATTTGAACGTTAGAGGGCACCAATAAAAAATAAACCCTATAAACCCGAACAATAATTAATTTAAAATTTATTATTTTTCTAAGCTTTTTATGAAACTTTTTGTCAAATATAATTTGTGATAGTAACATAAAATTCCATATCTTTGTCAACTAGATTATTAGAGCATATATATTAGATTTTATGCCGCGTCTCCATAGCTTGATGTGGATACATTTTTTGGAAATCAGTTTCAGAAATATAATTTTTTTCCTCAAAAATTATGCGCGGTGGCGTTTTTTTACTACAAGGATCATTTTACGAAAAAAAAAATCGGTTGTCTGTTGAGTTGGAAAATATTTTTATACTAAAATTTATGTAAGGGTGGGGGTAGTTTTTACCCTTCCCGTACTTTTTCTTGATTTTTGTAAAAGTCAAATGTTAAAGCACTTATATACCGGGTGTTGCATCGTCGGACGGGACATAGGAAATCCCATGTAAAATTTAATGGGGTCAATTATTGGCTTCCCTAATTATTTTAGAGAATAATTCTATTTAGGTTTATTGAAGAGCACTAAAACCTACATTCAAAAGAATAACTTTAGATATTTTTGATTAGCTCGTTTACGAGATATTGCCGATTTCTTTTTAAATATTTCTCCTTTCTTATGGCCCTGTATTTACTTATGAGCACCAGTCAAGGTAAAAGATAACTGTCAAATGAAGTTGTCATTTCAGAAATTTACCTATTTAGTGCTTTATTATTATTGAAAACTCATTCCTACATCGGAAATCTTAAAGATGTATTTATAAATACAAATTAATATGAAATAAAAGTAAAATAAAGTAATCAATTACAAGGTTAATTATAGTATTATTACAATATTCAATAACTTATTAATTTAGGTACTATTAAATTGTTCGAACTTTAGGATTTAAGATGTTCAAATATTCCTCCATCGACTGCTAGACAATAACCCAGGCGATCATAAAATTCTCTTCTTACATTCGCTAGTTGGTAAACTGAAATTCTATTGCATTCGGCAGAAATAGCATTTTTTAACTCGTCTAGATTTGGATATTTTTTATCCTTGTATATCCTGTTATTTAAATGGCCCCAGAGAAAGAAATCATTTGGCGAAATATCAGGAGACCTTGCTGGCCAATTTACTGTATGATTTAGGCCAATAAAGTTTCCGTTAAAACTATTGTCTAAATATTCCCGAACAGCCAGGGTACTATGTGCCGGGCAGCCATCCATTTGGTACCAAACTCCCTGATGTTCCCTAGCGGCATCATGTAAAGCAGGTAAAATATGATTTTCGAGTAGTTCCAAATAATATTCTGCATTTAAATTTCGCGTAAGAAATAATGGCCCGATAATATTGTGTCCGAATATCCCTGCCCAAACATTTACTTTCTGTAGATATTGCGTAAATACCCAAAATTTAATTCAAATCGGAATAAACGGTTCTTAAAATATCTAAAAAATTTGTTTATTTTTTTAAAGATTGATGCCCTCGTACAGACGAAGCACTTTTGTATAGAGATAAATTGTGTCCAATGAAATTATTTTAAAAACTAAACGTTCTCTCTAACCCAGTGTGAGTACATATTATCAAAATAAAACCTCTGAAGGCGGGTAAGAGGACAAATAACTCACAATCTTTAAGATGTTTATTTAAATTTAAATGCTTCAAAAAAAGCAGGGGAGCGACATGTTTCGGGACTTAAACAATTCCCATCATCAGCCCAGAAAGCTAAAACAATTACAATCAGAATAATAGCAAATTCCAATAGTCAAACAGAGATCAAAACTATAAAATACGATCACAAAACAAATTAAAAAGCAAAATAAAAACACTAAATCACCACAATACACCAAAACACTTTTACTTTTACACTGGACGCGCGTTTCGCTAACCATGTTAGCATCATCAGCAGATGATTATAAACTAAAGTACAATCTACAAGTTGAGCGTTTATATACTCGCTCAGTGGGCCCCGAGTGGGCGTGGCAAAATCTAGCCAACCGAGTCAGAGCCAACTGAGCGTAACAGTTAGATTTCCGCCACTAGAGTAGTAGGAACAAAGAACTTGAAGGAATTGGACCGTTGACTCTGTTCATACTATCTTTACATAGTACATAGTTTTTTATAGAAAACTAGAAGATCAATATTAACTAGATTTAAAGAACATTTAGCTCAGATAAGATATGGTAGACCGGATAAATCTTGCGTTGCCGAACATATTGTTGATAATGAACATTGTATAGATCTTAATAATTTAAAATTAATTAAATAAGTCTCAAATTACAGACAATTAGATGTGTATTAATAAATGTAAAGATAGTATGAACAGAGTCAACGGTCCAATTCCTTCAAGTTCTTTGTTCCTACTACTCTAGTGGAGGAAATCTAACTGTTACGCTCAGTTGGCTCTGACTCGGTTGACTAGATTTTGCCACGCCCACTCGGGGCCCACTGAGCGAGTATATAAACGCTCAACTTGTAGATTGTACTTTAGTTTATAATCATCTGCTGATGATGCTAACATGGTTAGCGAAACGCGCGTCCAGTGTAAAAGTAAAAGTGTTTTGGTGTATTGTGGTGATTTAGTGTTTTTATTTTGCTGTGTAACACCAAAGGTTCCAACCCTCAACTGTAATAAATTAAAAAGTTAATTTTTTTTTAAAAGGTTAAAAGGTTATGTCTATCACAATAATTGGTCAATCACAGATAACAATATGGTAAGCTTAATTTGAAAATTAAAACAACTAGACTAAAATGATAAGGTGAGGGAAGCCGTATAATCCACTATAATTAGATAAATTGACAGAAAAAACAAACAAGGCAATAATCAAATCATACCTCAATGCACAATTCAAAGAAATTTACTTAAACATTAGTCAAATGTATATTTTGAGGGATAATTTTTTTATTTTTTGTGTTAGTCATGTAAGTTAAGAATTATGATTATTTCAATTTGTATATTTAGATATTTAATTTTGTAGGATATATTTTTTAGTTATGTTAGTTAGGAGTAAGTTAAGAATTATGTTTATTTTTATTAATTTGTATATGTAGAATTATTTTAATTTATATTTCAATTTATATATTGTAGAAAATTAATTTTTATTTTAGTTTAATTTTTAGAAAATTAATTTTTATTTTAATTTACATATGTAGAAAATTATTTTTTATTTTAATTTAATTAAACTTGTGTTCTTTAAAATAAAAGCATACTCATACAAACGTCAACCTAGGAAGTACCACCACTCGGAAGAAATAAAATTAGCTGAGTTGTTAACATTCACACATCATTGTAATGAGGGAGATGTGTGAATGTTAATTTTAATTATTTTATGTTATTTTAATTCTAAAGGTACGTAGTAGTTCTATGTCCACGGAATATTGGGGCACCCTGTATTTTCAGTGGTACAATGTTGCCGCATCATTTAAAAAGTAGTAGCATCTTTGTTATTTTAAATGAAATAATAGGTTTATGGTTTATTATTCCATTTTTGGAAACTTCTTTTATATGTCTACGGAATATTGGGACACTCGCAAAGATGCAGGTGCCTTTATGTAAAAATCCAAATTTAAAAAAAAATCACTTTAGAATCACCTTATATCATAAGCAATACTCCATGTCTTATATAGCTACTTGCAAATTATAGTTTCCCTATATCTTTATACAAACAATAAAAATCTCTTAACTCTTAACAATAAATTATTACATTTATTACTTGAATGAAAGCGTTATAAATAACACTAATTATAGGCTTTCAGATGTATTCAGTGAGTAATCCTGAATAAACAATGCGAATAATTAAATTTAACTACGTAAAGTAATTATATCATGCAAATAAGTGTATAGTTTGTTTATTTGCGCTAATTTCAATTGTTATCGGTTGGATCAAGCAACAATTTACTGTGGGAGAAAAACGATCAACTTTGCTCGAGGAAGCTTATTTTTTTAATTGTTTATCTAGGAAATATTAAGGTTTTCCATTATAACAATAAAAATTTCCTTTTTATTAAATATACACTCAGATGCAAAAAAAACACAACGGAAATTTTTTTCGAGAAATTTAAAGTGTTATATTTTTTATATTTTAGTCTTATTTTCATGAATTTTTTAGCAAACTGTATATAGGGTTTCTTAAATAAGCGCAAATATTTTTAGAGCTAGTATATTTCGGCACCTATGAGGTTTTTTTAGCGAAAAAAATTATGAAAATTTGGAATTTAAAAAAAAAAATCGAAGATTTTTTAGCTTTAAGTTAAAAAACATAATTTCTTGATAATTTGGCAATATAGGTAGTAAATAACATTTACAAGAAAGAAAACCCAGAAAAGATACAGTGGTTCTCAAAATTTAAGCAAAAAATATATTTTTTAAAATTTTCAAAGTAAATTAATTGGTAATTTTGGATCTAATTGAAAAACGATATAGAAAAAATATGTTTCTTTTATTGAGATCTACGAGGTCTGAAAAAATTTGCACTTATTTGAAACTTACCCTGTATACCGGGTGCCTATCAAAAGTGGCAATTAGGCCAGTTGTTTATTATTACACTATTAAACTTTTTTATTTCTTCAGATAAAAATGCGAGATTTGGTATGTGAGTCTATGACATAAATCAGGATTGATTGACGTATTCAATTGTTTTTGATTACTTCCTGTTTTATCGGAAATGACAACTTTTGATTTTTAAATTGCATTCCTGGTATATTTGTACTTTATTCGATAGAAAATGACACTCTGAATAGAATGACATATCATCAATTTTTGATATTTTAGTTTAATAAAATATTGTACTTTAAATTTCAATCTAGCGTGCCATGAAAAAATAGATTATATCGTCTAATGTTTTTCGTGTCTTGTCCTGCCCGGTTAAAAGATGCCGAAATCGTATTTTTAATCATATCTCAAGTTTTTCAAATGAAATAAGAGAGACACATTAGCATATTTGGAAAAATCATTTTTTTACGAATAATTTGGTACCACACACTTGGTATTTCGAGTCAAATTGTCGTTATGAACAGCATGTTACAATTTCAAATAAACCATATGTGAAAATGTCAAAAGTTGACATATTGTATGTCATTCTATTCAGAGTGTTATTTTCTATCGAATAAAGCAAAAATATACCGGGAGTGTCATTTATAAATCAAAAGTATTGTAGTTATTTCCCTGTAAAACAGAAAGTAACCAAAAACAATTGAATACGTCAATCAATCTTAATTTATATCATATACTAACATCCAGATATCGTTTCTTTATCTGAAAAATTAAAAGAGTTATAGGGGGTGAGCCACTTTTGAGACGCACCCGGTATAAGGCTAATATTACACTATAAAATTTCTTTTTCAAAGATTTTAATTTTCAAAGAATTTGACAGTGTAATATGTGTGATTTTATAAAATATTGTATATTAACACTGTCATATTTTTCATCAAATATCTTTTATAAAAGATCTTTGACAAAGAAATTTGATAGTGTATTACTGGCCTAACAGTGTCAAAATTTTCATCAAATATCTTTTATAAAAGATCTTTGACAAAGAAATTTGATAGCGTAATACTGGCCTAAACGCGATAACATTTCTTTATCAAAGATCTTTTATAAAAGATATTTTATGAAAAATTTGACAGTATTGGCCAGTATTACACTATCAAATTTCTTTGTCAAAGATTTTAATTTTCAAAGAATTTGACGTGTAATATGTGTGATTTTATAAAATCTTGTATATTAACACTGTCATATTTTTCATCAAATATCTTTTAATAAAGATCTTTGACAAATAAATTTTATAGTCTACTGGCCTTAGGTCGCTAATACTGCTTAGTGTTAGGCTACTATTACACTATCAAATTTCTTTGTTACAGATTTTATCAAAAATATATTTTATTAAGAATTTGACAGTGTAATATGTGTGATTTTATAAAATATTGCATATTAACACTGTCAAATTTTTTTTATTACCAAACCAAACCAAATCAAAATCTTTTATAAAAGATGTCTGTCCAACGAGAAGATCCTTGACAGTTATAGATGCGTCTGTCATTTTAATTTCAAAGTAGTTTATTTTATTTTACAAAGAAATAAGTTTAAAATAAATTATTATATTTAAAATTTGACTGACAAGTGATTACTTCAAAATATTGTGAAAAAAACTGTATAAAACTGAAAAAATGTAATCGAGTTTTTTAATAAAAAACGGTATGTGTTAATACAAAACAAGGAATAAATAAAACAACATAAATAAAACAAACTATTGTATTGTTAATAACACTTACCAAATTTTATAGGTACCTAAGATGTTGGTTATTTACGTATCGTGTGATGTCGATATTTTACAGCTACTCCAGTTTTTAGCATATGTTTAGTATGGTCCTTCTACCATATTCGAGATGCACTTATCTACGATGATATGGTATACGAACTTTAATGATGGTAACTTTATTGGTGTATAAGACTTTTTGCCTGGGCAGCGAGTATTAATCATAAACTGTGCTCTGGGTCTACAGTTAATTTTCACTCGATTTTTCCTCCACTTGACTTCAAAAGACACAAAACACACGTAATAACACGAATCAAAATGCATCATCTTCCCAAACGCAGGGTATTTGACAAAACTGGGGTATTTGACAAAACTGACAAAAGTTGACACAAAATTATAACCTCTAATTTGGCAAGACTTTGACAAGCGTCAAAAATCTAAAGGCGAGTTCATACGCATCGGCGTCCGTTTGTCGTTCATCGTTCCGTCAAACCAATAAAATTGAAATACGATCACTCATTTTTGAAATAAAACAATAAAACTGGTTAAAAACAACCAGAGACGACGTATGACGGATTTATATTTAAACCCATCCATAGTTAACTTAAAAATTATTAGAAACTTTTTTTAGTAAATTAAATAGATTGGTATGGGACGTCATCTGCTTTTCTTCTGTCATCGTCTGTCGAAATTTTACCTGAGAAAAAAAAACAGAGATTATACCGTATGATCGAATAAAAACGGCGTCCAGTTGGCTTGGAAATGACGATCGATGGCATTTCCTATATAAATTTACATATAAAATGACTTCGTCTTCATTTCATAGCCATCGCTGACGCCGTTTTTATTCGATCATACGGTATTATAAAGTCACACATTACACTGTCAAATTCTGCATAAAATTCTTTTAAATAAAATCTTTGACAAAGCAATTTGATTGTGTAATAGAGAGTGTCAAATTTTTCATCAAAGAGTTTTGACAAATATAAATTTTATAACTTTATACCGGCCTATGTCTTAAATTTAAAATACTTCTAAGGTTATACTTTGCTTTTGGACAATACTGAGACGGGTTCGGGTTAAAACACCCACACCATAAGATAAGAACCTTTAATTAATTAAGCGAAAGAACAAAACGAGGATTTTTGTTTATCTTGGGGAAGCCAGTGAAAAAACTTTACAGACCGCTGGTCATCCTAACGAGCCAGCGCCCGGCTTGACCCTGATTTGGCGCAGATTCTTGAGAATCTGTCAGATTAATTGGTCATCGGATAACATTATAAAGTTCTAATCTGGCCGTAAACAATCTTCAGTTCGTGTTTTGGCACAGAGTTTTGCCGAACGAAGAATTCCGTCTTCTTTTGTTGGTTGCTGTTGATTTTTTTTTGAGAAAAAAAAAGGTCAAAGGAATAATAGAATATAACTGGAATTGCTGATGTAAGTACAATTTCCGTATAAGATTCAATATTTAATTAAAGAAGATTCAATATTTAATTAAAGAAGATTCAATATTTAATTAAAGAAATAAAATAAAAAGGGGAATAACAATTTAATAAAAAAAAATGATATTAAATTATTTTTATAAATTTCTTTGTATATTATTGACATTTTGAGAAAACTGCATTCCTCATAAAAATTGTGTTTGTTCTAAAATGGTTAAGTCCGTTTAACTTTTTTAATTTTCCAACTTTCCATACCGTTTTAGAGAAAATTAAAAAAAAATATAGTTGAATTTTAAATAAATCAAAACGCATGGTAATGTAATTTCGTTTTCATTCTTTCATAGATTGTTATTGAGAGAATTTTAATTAACGTCATATTTTTCACTGTTTTAAAATGTTAAAAAAGCACCAAATTTATTTTATTCAATGCCAAGGAAAGGGTGATAATAGTTATCGGAAAATGTGATTCTTTAACAACAGCAAAAAATATGATATTAATAGAAAAATATAGTATATAACACATACTGTCTACAAAGAAAATACAGCAGAAATATTAACAAAGTTCTTGAAAAAACTACAATCTATTATTTCTAATAGATTTCGAGATATCGATTTTTGAATTCAGAGTTCTAATAGCGCGACCACTATCGAACACCCACTCAATTCCACTTATTTTTACCAAAAATGCAAGTGTTTCTAGCTTGCACTTAAAAAAATTCAAGCTATAGGGAAAATTACAACGACTCGTTAATAAATAAACAAATCAAGTATCACGAAACGTAATTAAATCGTGAAGCTGAACGCATGACGTACACCTTTCCCTAGAACTTTAAAAAAATGTCAAATTATCAAATCATTATATTATTATATTTATTTAAAAAAAATCTCGGATGCTTATTGAGATACTAATTAATCTTCATTTTTTTTTCTAGTTGTTCCTTCATATAAATATTAAATATTAAACATATACAATGAATGCATTTTTTTTATCCAACCAGTTTGACTGGCTTAATTAAAGAAATACCGGAAAAAACGGCGTCCAGTTGGCTTGGAAATGACGATCGATGACATTCCTGGTATAATTTTACATATAGAATGATAGCGATTTTAATTTCATAGCCATCGCTGACGCCTTTTTTTCCATCATATTGTAGTATATTAATGCAATATTGATAACAAGACTCCTAATATAGGGGGTGATTCAATAAAGCAAATCATTTTTTTTATTGAATTATAAGAATACAAATTATCTTTTATTTTTACTTTAATTTAATAAAAAAACTAATTTCAGGATTATTATGGAATCATGGTTTTTTGTTTTTGGCGTTTCGTTGATATTGACATTATCAGTTCAAGGAACACACGCAGCAGATCAACCTAATATTGTTTTTATTATTGCTGATGATTTAGTAAGTAATTACTGAGCTATTAATGTTTTTTGTTATAAAACATCAATTGGTTGTAAAGTCTTGATCAATTATAAAGATATTTACTGGCAATTACCACATATCCTGTTTTTTATTAGTCTTTATGGCAATTTTATATTTATTTACCGCAGCCTTAAAGATCTATTGTGTCCCCCTTTCTTAAGTTATAACTCATTACAGAGTCTATAACTCATCACACATGGGGATCTTGTTGTTGTAGAGGGACAAGGTATTTTCCATCCTTCTCTGACAACAGCTGTTCATCCTCCGGGGAGTGGACATCTACATGCTACAAGGGTATACACCCTTCCACTGTTAGGGTTTAGCCCTCCGTGTCTTTTACAGTCGAGAAGCTTGTCTACGGCTGAGAATATTTTTCTAAAAAGAATGTGCGCCACTGACTTCTTTTCACTTGTTAGCAAAGTTGTGTAGGCCGTTTAATGGCGATTAAAAGTTGTTTCTTGTTATTTTCTTGATTTAGGTCTTCTTGATGAGATAAACGCAATTTTATAATTTGCCTTAAGTCAAGTCTAATAGAAACGTTTAAAATTTGTAATGTTTTTTAGGAAAATATTCCAGTGATAACCCATAGCACGTCCCTGGCGAATCTGTCGACACTTTTTAGCATTAAAATATGCTGCACTTATAGTAACCTTTACCCTCAAAATTTATCACTAAAAGCATTTGAAAGAAAATTTTAATAAATTGAAAAAAAATTGAAGACTTTAACCCCCCGTAGCAGCAACCCCTAAAACTAAGAACAACAAGCAGAATCGAACTTATGTTGATATAAAAAATTGGCGCCGCGTCGGGAGGCACGTGTAACCGCCCATACTAAAATATGTTAATAAAAAGTTGGTAGGCAGTTCTTTTAGTTTCAAAGTAAAGGAATTTTTCCAATTTTGGTCCGCGGTTATTTCCCCTATCTGCCACCTGGGGTCGCGTCCGATGGGAGTTTGGAGTTCTCCACACGGATTTTCTCAAAAACGGACTACGGAAACACGGAATATCTCAAAAACTGCGACTTTGACTGATTTTGATGTTATTACAAATTTTGTTGCTAATATTATTCATAATCTTAAATTGAAAACCGCGTTTCGCTAGCTACTGTAATTTTGGAGTTACGATTTTTTCAAATTCTTAACCCCCTCCCATACCCCCTTACTAATCCCCCACCCCCACCAAAAATTAATGGCCAGATTCTCGGGTGCCACAGTATTTTTGTGCCAAATTTGGTTAAAATCGGTTTAGCGGTTTTTGAGTTATCGTGTTACAGACAGACGGACAGACAGACAGACACCATGAAAATATTTTGTATTTAGGTCATTTATGACCCAAATAACTCATTTTGAGTGAAATTTGCCGATCTTAATAGCCTACCATACCTGTTAGCAGACTTAAATTGGGTCGAATACTGAAATCCGGTATTCGAATATGAATTCTGAATACTGTATTCTAAATTGTATTCGAATACTCAAGATTCGAATATAAAGAAAAAAAAAATTCGAATACCGCTGTATTTGAATACCTGGATTCATTTAAATATGAATACTTTTTGAATATTCCAACAAAAAAAACATATCCGTACATTAAACATGATTTTTATTTATGTGCTTAAGTTATAAAAATATGAAACACAATAAGGTAACAATTGGAAAAAAAATGATATTTTGACATAACCAATTTACCTCTTTTTGTTTCCTAGCCTACTACTCGAATTTTTAGACCATATAATCCTAAGCGGCAGCCTAACATGATTTTTTCTCAACAAAATTAATACTGAATATCATTAAAGAAGAAAAGCTCTTTTAAACGAACCCTAGTTTATTTAAATCGGTTAACCTAAACCAGAGTTATACTTATTTTAATAAAAGCTATTTTAACCTTCCCCCACCATTTTATTTTATGAGATAGAGCAAAACACTCTATATCATAAAACTTACAAATTTCTTGATGATTACAGTAGTAATATTTAAAATACCTGTTCACCTGCATATTTTTGAGAAAAAGCCTGTTTTCTGATTGGCTATCAGAGAAACGCCCCCTAGCGGATATTGTTCGAACTTGAAAATAATTTCCAGCGATTTCTCTTGGTCGATTTACTTATTAGAATTTTTTTTCCAAAGTTATACGTTAAGTAGTTTCTGAGATACAGCCGGCGTCCATTCTTAGTTGGCTACCCGGTACTTTGTCTGGTATCACACACAAATTATCATCGTTTTCGTTTTCCTGTTATTACCGATTCTGAACCGTCCTAGAACTGTGATGCGTATGCGCAGAAGGAAATATGAAGACATTATTTCATTTGCCCATGCGCTGTTAACAGGTATTAAAATTTATAATAAAATACCTAGAATGGCGATACTGCACAAGTGCACACGTAATATCTAATCGTGATCCTTAAGCGACCTGTCTCGTCTCACGATTTGGCGATGATTAAATTTAACCCGATTGTCGGCATCGCGAATTGAGAACCGTCCGCAACCCCCGCGAACGTGTTTTAACAAGCTTAAGTTGCGTAAAGCGTAACGCAATATTCATAAACAAAATCAAACAGGATTCGAATGCCGGGATTCCAATACAGGATTCGAATACTGGGATTCAAAAACGGTATTCAGAATCCAGAATACTGATTACTGACCAAAAAAGTATTCAGTCGAATATCAAATACCAAATACACAAATGTATTCGAATAGTATTCGAATTCCAGTCAAAAGTATTCTGAATAGGATTCAGAATACCGAGTATTCGAATACTACCCAAGTCTGCCTGTTAGTATGGTCGGCTAAAAACAAATCTTATTTTTACATGAGGAATCTCTCAACGAGGGATGACACATGTTTTCTGAAACACTCTGTATATACAAGGTGTCCCAGAAATAAGTGCAAGTATTTTAACCGGTAATATAGTTAAACCCCAGAAACACGCATATGAAAAATTTTGAAAATTCGGAATTTTTTGAAATTTTTTTTGGATTTTTTTTTTAGTTTTTAGTTGAAAAACATAAGTTATTGATAATATGGCAACATAGGTAGTAGATTAAATTTATAAGAAAGAAAATCCAGAAAAGATCCAGTGGTTCTCAAAACTGTAGCAAAAATCATTTTTAGCCTATCATACCAACAGGTATGGTAGGCTATTAAGATCGGCAAAAAAAAAGTTTTTTTAATTTCACTCAAAATGAGTTATTTGGGTTATAAATGGCCTAAATACAAAATATTTTCATGGTATCTGTCTGTCTGTCCGTCTGTCCGTCTGTAACACGATAACTGAAAAACCGCTAAACCGATTTTAACAAAATTTGATTTTAACAAATTTATTTTACCGAAAACCGATTTTAACAAACCAAACCAAATCTGGCCACTAATTTTTGGTGGGGGTGGGGGGTTGGTAAGGGGGTATGGCAGGGGGTTAAAAATTTTAAAAAACCGTAACTCCAAAATTACAGTAGCTAGCGAAACGCGGTTTTCAATTTAAGATTAGGAATAATATTTGCAACAAAATTTGTAATAACATCAAAATAAGTCAAAGTTGCAGTTTTTGAGATGAAAAAAATTGAAAAAATTCCTTTACTTTGAAACTAAAAGAACAAAAAAAGAAAACTAAAAGAACTGCCTACCAACTTTTTATTAACATATTTTAGTGTGGGCGGCTATACTTGCCTCCCGGCGGTATTTTTTTTTTGGATATTTTCAAAGTAAAATAACTCCGTTATTTTGGACTTGTTTGAAAAACGATAAAGAGAAAATGTTTCTTTTATGGAGATCTACCAACCTTTACAATACTTGCACTTATTTCTGGGACACCCTGTATATTAGCTTTTTCTATATATGAATATTTATAATCGAAGATCTTTGTAACCCTATAATTTACTATAATTAGTCTGGTTAGTTTGAGTCGATATAAACAGAATATATAGAACAGAAAGGAAAAAAACAGGTTCTCATAATTAGGCTTTAGAGATATTCGTGTGGAATTTCCAACCAGCCAAGTATTCGTGACCATCGGTGGTAATTTATATTGTTTTTTTGCATGTCATTTATCAATTTTTTGCTGTTATGCCACGGAATGAAGATGGTGTTAAAAAATTTTCAGGCAACATTTCAAATTTTTTATTCAAAAAGAAATACGCGTTGGGCATTAAAATACCGGCTATCAAATAAACAACTTCAGTGTTGACTGAATAAGTACAATTTTACAGAAATTACCAGAGATTAACAATGACAATGACCTAGGGATTATTGCCTTTTTCGGGCAACTTTATGGTTCGGTAAAATGTTCTTAGTTAATTATATTTTCGGGCAATTTTGTTTAATAATATTATAAATTAATTTGCAATGGTGTCATCAACGTACAAATTAAAACACCAATTCACTACAATCCACTAAAACGCTTTACTTTTCACTGAACTTCACTACATGCATGTTAGCATCATCAGCAGGTGATTAAACCTGATTATAAAACTGTTTTTAAAATAGTTAGCGACATGAGCCTCCAGTGCAAAAGTAAATAAATGTTTTGGTGTATTGTGGTAAATTAATATTTTATTAAAATGCTGTTGTAATACCAAAAGCCAAAAGCTTCAAAAATTTGATGAATTATACAGAGTGAGTCTTTAATAAGTGCAAATATTTTCAGGGCTGGTAGATCTCGATGACAGAAACATATTTTCTCTTTACTGTTTTTCAAATAAGTCCAAAATAACTGAGTTATTTTATTTTGAAAATTAAAAAAAAATGATTATTTGCTTAAATTTTGAGAACTACTGGATCTTTTTTCGACTACCTGTGTTGCCATATTATCATGAAATTATGATTTTAAACTAAAAAGTAAAAAAAAATCCAGAAATTTTTTTCAAAAAATCCCAAATTTTCAAAAATTTTTGGTTGCGAAAAAAAACCCTAAAAATATGTGCACTTATTTAAGACTTACCCATAACATTTAACTACTGAATGCGGGTATACACCAAATACATATAATGCTTATGAACGTTAACCCTCAACTGACGTGGTGGGGTCCAGAGGACCCCAAGCACTATTTAAAAATCTGTAAAATGTTTACAGACCAAAGTTATTAGCGAAATTATAATAAATACGAAAATATATAGGCCCTGAATTACCTTATTTTTCTAACACGGTATCACTAGCCCTCTTGATTATGACCATTCTAAAAAAAAAGATAAAAAAAATTGTTTTATACAAAAAATCGTCAATGAACTAGAATACTAGGTGTCTTAATATCTAATAATTAAGATGTCAATGACAGTGAACAAGAAACGACGCCTCAGTGAATTCATGGTAAGCTTTGGAAAAAAGTTGCTTCTAGAGGGATAGTTTAAACATCAAAATATTATTATATCAACATTTTGATAGTCTCAGCAGCGTTTTTTATCTTTTGATTGCGATTTTCTAAAAATACCTTTCTTCAATAGAGAAAACACGCTGCTAAGACTATCAAAATGTTGATCTAATAACACTTTGACGGTTATACTAATATGTCAAAAGCAACTTTTTTCCAAAGCATTCCATGACTTCACTGAGGCGTCGTTTCTTAGTAACTGAAATTGATATCTTTATTATTAGATATTCATAGATCTGGTATTATGGTATTCTGGTATATTGTCGATTTTAGAATAATCTAATCATTTCCATCTTATTTTTTGTCAGAATTTTCATAATCAAGAGCGCTAGTAATACCGTGTTAGAAAAATAAGATAACTAAGGGCTTATTTTTTCGTATTTATTATAATTTTGCTAATAACTTTGGTTTGAAAAAGATATCAAGATGCGGTTTTTGCTGGCATTTTAAGTTTTTATTACTCTTTACTATAAGATAAAATTACATATACTATCGCATTTAATTTTTTTGAAAAAACGCGCAATGTTTGTTAAATTGTAAGACAGCGTCCCCTAGCGTTTACATACAAAAACTTATTATTATTGTTTATACGCTGTAATATAGAATAAGAAACTCTCTATTAAACGAGCCCCGATTGTTCGATTCCGTTCATCCAATTCGATAAAAAAACGCTAAAAAGGTGTAGTGGACTGTTTATTTCTTATTTGTCTGTTATTCTATTTTATTAAAATGCTGTTGTAATACCAAAAGCCAAAAGCTTCAACAATTTGATGAATTATACAGAGTGAGTCTTAAATAAGTGCAAATATTTTCAGGGCTGGTAGATTTCGATGACAGAAACATATTTTCTCTTTACTGTTTTTCAAATAAGTCCAAAATAACTGAGTTATTTTATTTTGAAAATTAAAAAAAACTGATTATTTGCTTAAATTTTGAGAACTACTGGATCTTTTTTCGACTACCTGTGTTGCCATATTATCATGAAATTATGATTTTAAACTAAAAACTAAAAAAAAATCCAGAAATTTTTTTCAAAAAATCAATGTTAAAGACGCACTTGATTTTATCAAGTATTGTTCCTACCAGCAGCGGGGGCTAAAGTTTCATTGGGGTCTGTGTGGCATCACCACGCCAAGAATGTTACATTATTAGGATGGTGGGTAGTCTAAAAAGTGTGCCTCACTGGGACGCTAATTTTGAGGAAGCATTAATTGAATGGTTTGATGAACTTAAAGAAGCTTAAGCGAGATGAAGACCATCGAGACATTGATTTTTCTCCGAAGAGTAACAATAACTCCGATTCTGAATATCTTACTTACAGAAGAGAGAAAATTGAATAATCAATACCAGAAAAGAAAGAGATGTGTTATATGGCAAAACATATGTCAATGAAGAAATGACAAAAAGACAAAAATCTCATGAATCAAATGTGCACGATCCATGTGCGGCAAATGCAGATCTTATATTAGCATGAACTGTATTTGAAAAAGTTATGTACATTCATGGTTTGCAGTTTTGTTGAAAGTAATTACTTTAGCTTCATATTTCAGTTGTTTGTACTTTTAATAATACGGTAAAATCATAAAATATATATGTTTTTAATTTCTATGGGTTTCTTAGCCAAGTTATATTTCTGTTGTCAAAAATTCCTAAAAAAATGCGTTTTACTTTATTTTTGTGTCTGTTCTTATTAATTTGTTGAAAATTAATGAAATTGTTTGTTCACAAGTTTGAATATATTAGTGTTAAAATAACAAGCTTTTTATAAAATCTCTTCATCATGTATTTTAAAATGAAAAAAAATGCACGCCGTAAACGTTACAAAAATTCACCACGCCATGCGCCAGTTGAGAGTTAAATAGCAGCTATTTGATTATACAGGATGAGTCTTAAATAAGTGCAAATATTTTCAGGGCTGGTAGATCTCGTTAAAAGAAACATATTTTCTCTTTGCCGTTTTTCATATAAATCCAAAATAACATTTAAAAGTTATTTTACTTTGAAAATTTCCAATCAAAAAGATTTTTTTGCTAAAATTTTAAAAACCACTGGATCTTTTTTGGATTTTCTTTCTTGAAAATTTAATCTACTATCTATGTTGCCATATTATCAAGAAATTATGGTTTTTAACTAAAAACTAAAGAAAATCGAAAAACATTTTAAAGAAAAGAAGGTTTAAAGAAGCTCTCAGAAGAAAAAAAATGGATGCTCCCATTCTTTATTTCTTTTTCATATTTTTCTTCTTTTATATTAAATGCAACATGATTACAAAAGAGAGAGCATAGGCGAGAACATTGCTTTTAATTTAAAAAAAGTTTAAATCATAAATCAGTTTATCTATATGCATAATGTATTTGTTTTCTATAGGGTTGGAACGATGTAGGTTTTCATGGTAGCAACCAAATACCGACGCCCAATATTGATGCTCTGGCATATAATGGTATAATACTAAACAGCCACTATGTACAATCATACAGTACACCCACAAGGGCTGCTTTGCTATCAGGAATTTATCCTATGAAATTAGGTACCTAGTTTTTCGTTTACGTTATTTTTATTTTCATTGAACTAGATATATAAAATATACATTTTTTAGGTATGCAGGGTCCTAGTTTCTTAGCAGCTGAGAAGAAGGCAATGCCTCCACACAAGCTTCTACCAGAGTATTTTAAAGTCAGTAATTATTCAAAATATTTACATGATATTCTTTTATAATATATTGTATTTGTATTTTATTAAGTGGAGTCCCACCTGGGACCCTCCACTGAGGCCGCGAGGGCCTATTGTGGCTCAGTTTCTACAAGCTATTTAATAGAAAAAGAGCATTAAAGTTCACCCTCAAGACCCAGCCTTTTAACATAGGCCGTTATGTCCGAGGGTGATATGTCTTCTAGGTCTGATTGGTCTAGCGTAGGTTTGCCAAACACCTCAAACCTGGTCCTGCCCTCAGCGGGGCAGGTACACATAACGTGCTTCATTGTTTGGTCATCTTCCATACAGAGTCGGCATGCGGCGTCTTCCACCAGTCCCATCCTCTGTAGGTGTGATCTCAGCCGGCAGTGGCCCGTGTATACTGCAGTAAGCGTACGCGCTCCGTTCCTACCAGCCTTTAGGAGTTCATCTGATCTACGTTTGGATGGCCCTGCTAGGATTGTCTTGGCATGTTTCATTCCGGGTCTGTCATTCCAGTCCCGAAACGTCGCACCCCTAACCCATTCACAGAGCCTGTCTCTTGCGAGATTTTTTGGTACGCTAAGGGTCGGTTCTGGGCCCACGAATGGCGAGCCTGCACCAGTTTTAGCGAGGAAATCAGCACGTTCATTTCCCTCTAGGCCGACATGTCCCGGTATCCATATTAGCGACACTTTGTTTCCATCTCCTAATATATTGAGTAGTTTCCTACAATGAAGAATCGTCCTGGACGTGCTTTTCGTTGCCTCAAGTGCTTTCAACACGGCTTGACTATCCGAAAATATGCTTATTGTTTTCCCGGTGTATTGCTGTTCTACCAGCAGTTGCACACAGGTTTCAATCACATATAGCTCAGCTTGGAAAATTGTGGTGTGTTTTCCAAGACTGTGGCAGATCTCGGTCTTTGGACTGCTGCAGTAAATTCCTGCGCCAGATCCTTTATCGTTTTTGGATCCGTCCGTGTACCAACACATTTCCGCAAGTAATAAGCCGTTTCTCGGCTTATTACCTCTTACCTTATAATATATGGGCTATCTGTACTGTATAGGCTTGGTGTATTCTCTACCGTAAATAGCCGTAAATTATGAGAATTCTAAAAAAAAGAATGTCTTGTATTATAATTTGTTAAACATGCTAATAAAACGTTTTAGAGTAGCAATAACACGCCGGCTTACACACTGAACTACGGTAGCTATCATGCTTTTATACACAGGTTTCGATAGTTGGGACATAACTAGGGCTATCGGGATTGTAACGAAATTTTTTAAAAGCACATAATTATAATTTTGGAACACATCCATAAAAAGATTTAAGCCTTATAAGTTTATTATTTTTGATGATTATTTTAGTTGATTAAAATCAATCTTTTACCAAAAATTGACATTTTGGATAATTTTTATTGTCATTTGCAATCTATGGTTGTAATTCGATGATATTTTTTTTTTTCGGGCAACTGTCTTTTCGAGTAACTTTCATTTCGAGCAAAGTTTCTTAGACCTATTTTAATATATTAAAAATTGTTGCTCTGATTAGAATTATTATTACAAGTAGCCAATTTTGGCTGTATATTTTGTGTGTATTCATTACAAATCAAATAAATAAAATATAAGATACTTTACGTAGGAAATGGGATATGAAACGCATTTAGTTGGAAAATGGCATTTGGGATATAGTAGATGGAACGAAACACCCACGTTCAGAGGATTTGATCATCATTTTGGATTTTATAATTCCTTCTGCAGTTATTATGATTACCTGTCAACATGGAGAGTAAGTAAGGCGATATATTTATTAACTAACCCATAAACATTAAATGAGAAGAAATATAATTATAGATAAGATAGAAGAAATAATAATTTCCAATAAAAAATATTATGAAAAATAAAATAAAAATATTTTTTAAATTTTAATTGCTGTTAATTTTAAATTATATTTTGTTAACAGAACGTCAATAAATTATAATAGCTAGTTAATAAAAAACGTAAAAAGAAATACAAGACCGCAAGAGTCTTCCATGCATGTCAAATCTGGATAATTATTGTCTAAAATAGGTATTTTATATTATTATCAGAAGCTGTGACATCTGACTGAAATAGTACATCTACATATGTATTTCAAATTCCTTTTTTCAAAGACAACTGATTTTTTTAGTAACGAGAAAAATATCCCTCTACACATTTTAAATTACTTTTTATGCCTACTTAGTACATTCTAGAGATGAGCAAGAAATCACAAACTGCGATTTATGTGCAGTGATTTTAAAATCGGAAGCGCAACCCTCATAGGAAACTCAGACTGCGATTAACCAATATTACTATAGTTGTGATTTGCGATTTTGCTGCGATTGTGATTTTGTAAACCAAGATCGTGATAACCTTCTATATGTAAGTTTGAATTCTCAGGAGTTGCGATTTGCCATTTTGTTGCGAATGTAATTTTGTAGTCCATTGAAGCATTTTATAGTAAACTGGGATTGAATTTTTTCTCCGATTTTATTTATTTATAGAGAAGGTATTATTTTCTAGGGCCAAGATCATAATATACCGGGTGTTCTCAAGAGTGATTCGCCCCTATAATTTTTTAATTTTTTGCTGATAAAAAACGAGATTTGTTATGTTAGCATATGACATAAATTAGGAATGACGTATTCAATTCGTTTTAATCACTTTCTGTTTCACCGAAAATGACTACAACTTTTGATTTTTTTAAATGACACCCTCGGTATTTTTTTTAACTTTATTCGATAGAAAATGACACTCTGAATCATTGAACAAAGAAAAATTTATTCAATGCTCTGAATAGAATGGCATATTGTATGTCAACTTTTGACATTTACGTTTAAAAAATCGTATTTTAAATTTCAATCTAGAGTGTCATGGCTGTGTTAATAACACTAATCTTTAATCAAGGATCCTTGGAGAAAGATTTAATTGTCTATTGTTTTTCGTGTGTTGCCCTGGCCGATTAAAAGATGCCCAAATGGTATTTTTAATCATATCTCAATTTTTTCAAATTCGAACGAACATTGGCATATTTAGAAAAAGCATTTTTTTAAGAATAATTTGGTACCACACATTTGGTATTTCGAGTCAAATTGTCAGAGGTTAAAAAAACTTAAAAACTAAGCAACTGATTTTTATTATTTTTTTTAACTGTTAAGCTATAGGTACATACAGTACGTCTGTCCGTTCTGTAGCTACGGGGTATCCGTGAGAGGGGAAACGATGTTTCTCGTAAACCGAATTCTCTCGATGTTTTTCGTAAAAAATTAGACGACGCGCCCCATCAATAAAAATTCATCAAATTTGCAAGTAGCCAATAAAATGAGTGGGCGGAGCGATTTGCGGTGACGCACTCGTCAAATCGACGTATAAAATATATTGCTGTTTATTTAAATGTTTTTTGTCCGCATTCCTTTCATAGACACAGATCCAGCAGATGTACTGTACACAGACAATTATATCCCTAGTCCGATATTTAAATATTAAAATCGCAATCGCAGTTTCAATTGCGATTGGAGAATCACAGTTTTGCTCATCTCTAGTACATTCGATTTTGTCAGCACGATTCAAACACATCTGACTATTTTAGTACAACGACCATGACTATACTGGTTTCGAACTGAGAAAAGACGGACAACCAGTTTTTGAAGAAACTGGCAAATATGCTACTGATCTCTTTACAGATCACACTGTAAACGTCATCACAGAACACGATACCACTAAATCTCTTTTCCTTATGCTGTCTCATTTGGGAGTGCATGCTGCAAATAAGGGAAAGCCTTTGGAGGCTCCTCAGGAGACTATCAATAATTTCAAGCATGTTGTGGATGCCAACAGAAGAACATACGCAGGTTAGTTTACAGGGTGATCTTTTATTACATTTGGTGTTGGAATTTTTAGTGTGACATCATCAAATAAAACACTAAATTTACCGCAATACACCAAAACACTTTACACGCGTTTTGCTACCATGTTAGAAGTAAAGCCCCATACTCACACTTCGCTACTTCACTTCGTTCCTTCCTCGCGTCCCTTCGTCCAAAATGCTATATTTACTATGGGAAATTGTCGATTTTATGCAACTGTGTGTTCCTCCGTTCCTTCGTCAAAACGCTCCTTCGTCCGCTTACTTCCTCAAAACGCTCCTTCCACGTACTGTCGGTTTTTGGACGAAGTAGCAAAGGAATTATTACGAACACAAAAAAATATTAAAATATAGAAAATATATAAATTGATCTTGGATTTCATTCGTAGTTGATTTCTTGATTTGGCAGTACGTCTGTACAGGGTGTCCCATTTTCGTGTGTTTTGCAGGGTTTCTCGTTTATGAGTCGAGGTACAAAGATGCAGTTTGGTTTGGGTTCACATTATGATGTTACTTTTTTATGAAACTAAAGATGCTACATACAGATATGTCCTAGCTCTCTTACTTCCTAAAATAGAGGGCGAATCTGAAATTATTGCATTTTTCGATCCCCTTTGTATCTCGGTTATCTTATAACTTATCGAAAAGGTGAAAACGGTGTCCCGTACAGTTTTTCACATAGAATGCAGTGACATAACTAGTTCTTCGTTGGAATCTGTCTTTTTTTTAAATATGACTAAAACTTTACTTATATGTAGTAAAAATACTACATATACGTGTAAAAACTTATATGTAGTATGTTTTTTTAAATACGATATTTTGTATATTATTTTATTTTCCTTGTTACGAGCTTTCTAAAATACTTATTTTCATAAACGGGGTAAAAGTGCATTATTTAACTTTATTACATAGTCGGCCGGTTTAAATTAGGTAATGAAAACAATCAAACACAGGTAAAAAGTGCTATAATACAATTTAATAGACAATTAAATTGTGCATCCGACTCTCATAAAATATACAGGGTGTTCCATTTAAATTAAACAAGTTATTGCCGTTTAAATCTAGTAATTATTTAAAATAAATTTTTAGACACTCTGTATAAGGTAGTATAATTTTTATTATTGCAACACAATAACTGATTAATAAATAAACTTCAGTAAATATTTAGTATTAACTCAAACAAACTGAAAACAATCAACTAATTTATTCGACGTAAAATGTTGGTTATTGACTATTCCACGCTAATTTTTATGTATAGTTATAATATAACTCTGATTGAGAGTATGTTATTTAAAAGCAGCACAAGTTCAGTTTCCGTGTAGTTTATCAAAATATCACGATGCAAAGCAAAATTATCTGGTAAAATTAAGTTAAATAAAATAAGAGCCGTTTAGTAGTTTAGCAGTGCCTAAATAATTAAGTATAGAGTATACATATTATAATTTTAGAAAGCTCATAACTAGGCAAATAAAATAAATAATAATATTTAGAGTGTCCTGTTTAAAATAAGAACATAATATTAAGTTTGAGTCATTTTTCGAAATAGACAGCTTCCAATAAAGAACTAGTTTCGTCACTGCATTCTACCTGAAAAACGAGACACGGGCGGTGGGTAAGTTCTCAATAGGTAGAACAAAACAAAATCAGGGTATATACCTGTACATTTAGATGAACAGTCTAATTTTATAAAAGGTATTTCCAACGACCGCAAAGTAAATACCCGGTATACTACCAGAAATATACCAGTAATATCAGAAATATATCTACAATATTCCTAATATATATTGGTACATTTTTATTCGCGGTATTATACCGGGTATTTACTATGCGGTCGTCGGAAACTCCTTTTATAAAATTAGGATGTTTATCTAAATTTTATCTACAAATTGGGTACTTACCCCATCACTGATCCTTTTCACCTTTTCGATAAGTTATAAGATAATCGAGATAGAAAGGTTATCGAAAAATCCAAAAATTTCTACTAATTAAAAAATAAAAAGTATAAAAGAAAGAAATAAGAAATAAATTTGAACTAAGAAGGCTAGGATAAATCTGTGTATAGCATATTTAGTTTCATAATAAGTAGATTGATGTAAAAACAGTATCTTTATATCTCTACTCATAAACCAGAAACCCCATAAAACACACAACATACAAAAATTGGACACCCTGTACATCTAGCAATTGCCAGTCGATATAAAAATAGAGTCACACACAATAGTCTGAAAAATGGAAGGAAAAGACAATATTTTCTTCATATTTGTGAAGACATACATGTCCATATTTATGTAATCGTAGCGACAAAAATAAAAAAAATAGAAAAAGTGTGAATGATGCCTTTACAAAAATATCTGAAGAAATGAGGATTGACATCAACGTTTAATTAGTATGTCATATTTCATAGTTTCGATATAAATGACATAATAAACTTTACTCTATTGTTGACTCGCCTTGTACATTCATACTGATATACCTTGTACATGATACTGAAATATTCGGATTTATTAAAAAAAATATAATTAAAATTCAATTTTTATTTTTGACATGACAAACAATTGCAGTTTTATAAAATAAAAATCATGTGCCTTTCGGATTATTTAGAAATTTTAGAGGTTACTAGATATTTCGTAATAAACATGTAGCTGCTATATTAAAAATATTTTGTGGTGTGTTGTTGCATAATCGACTAATTTCCAAGCATCGAATGGACGAAGGAAGGAGGCGAAGGGACGAAGGAACGAAGTGAAGTGAGGAAGGGAAGTAACACGACGAAGGGACGAAGGAGCGAAGTGTGAGTACGGCGCTTAAGGTCCTACCATTATCAGCAGATGATTAAAATAGTTAAATCAGTGTTAAAAGAAAAGTGTTTTTAAGTGTATTAGTGTTTTTTTTGCGATCATTTATTTGAAGTACGATTTTATATTTTTATATTGTATGCCTGCGTCAATTGTGTATTTTTTTATCAAACTCTTTTTGTACACTGATAATGTTTTACATTTATATTTTAGCAATGGTAGCAAAACTGGATGAAAGCTTGGGATCGATAGTTGAGGCTTTGGATCAAAAGAGCATGCTGTCGAATTCTATAATAGTTTTTATTAGTGATAATGGAGCCCCAACAATTGGTAAGTAGACCAGATTTTTTATTTAAGTTTTTATTTAGGTCTACATAATTTTAAATAATATTTAAATTAAAATATAATTTTTGACTGTATTAAATCAATTTATTTGTATTTGACCGCGTTCAGGACAGTTAGTAATTAGACCAATATCATCAACGAATTTTGGATGGTTCGGGTATTCCCCATCTGTCTTAGATTTGTGTTTGGATATCCTCTCCAAAGTTACTATAAACAGCTTTGGAGAATTTGGGTCTTCTTTTGTGATTCTTTTGCTTGTCGAGAGTTCTGATCTGGGGTATTCGCCATCTGTTTTTTAGATTTTTGTTTCAACCTAATTGGAGATCTTGGCCAAAGTTGTTGTGAACTGCTTTGAAGAATCTCTGTCTTTTTCTCTGATTGCTTTGTGGAGCCAAACCAATTTTTTAGAATAAATAATATAAAATAAGTTCAGTAAAGATAAAGAAATCCACAGAACTTCAAATCAAATGTTTTCATTAAGACGCCAAACAGAACTGTCAAGGGTGGTAATGATAGAAACTCTGTCTATGATGTCGATTGCGCCCTCCATGCTTGAATACATGGACAGTATTATACTACGTTCTTATAATTATAGAACCCTTTTTTTGTTATTTTAGGTTCTTTTAAGAATTGGGGTAGCAATTTTCCATTAAGAGGTCTAAAAGATACCCTGTTCGAAGGTGGCGTGCGATCAGTAGCCTTTATTTGGAGTCCCCTTTTAGTTCAGACTTCTAGAGTTTCTACAGATCTGATGCACATCACTGATTGGTTTCCTACACTCTATACTGCAGCTGGAGGTGATATAGATGCATTGGACCCTGAACTGGATGGTATAGATGTTTGGTCTAGTTTAGTAAGTATTTCTTTTGATAATTTGATGTGATTTTTCAAATAAGTCCGAAATAACCAAGTTATAATCTGTCAGTTTATGTTGTAGATTAATTATGTGTTTTATAGATTTTCGGAAAAAAGACATATTAGAATGTAGGTCAGGTAGGAAGTAGTAAGATTGCAAACATGCCCTTAGGACAAAGTTAAGAGCTAAAGCTATTGGCTAAAATATGTTGCAATTATATTTTTTAATAACCAAAAATAACTCTTTTATTCTTTTATTAGGTATATGATTTGCCATCTCCAAGAAATGACATACTTATTAACATTGACGAGAAAACAAGAAACGCAGGATTGAGATTCTACAATTGGAAATTAATTGTAGGCAAGTATTCTGTAAATGTTAATTAAATAATGAGATAAGACAATAATAACAATAAAAATGTATACAACTCCCAAATTTGAGACACGACGTCATCGACAGTTTTTTTAAACGGCATTCCTAAGTTCTTTATATTTCCTTAAGACATGCAAGATCTTGATATTGGTGGGGAAACTCCTAGTCAGGTGTCAGGGGTTTAGCTGTATCGTGGTAGTGTCGTGAATTGTACCAAGACATATAACGATGCTGAATGGGACTATACTGTTCGTCATCCTAGGCGCCCTCTACTGTCTATGGTCATGTCACATGAGCAGATGGTGTGGAAGAGTCTAGGCATTACCTTAGACTACTAGGCATAATAGACTAGGAGTCCATTTTACGAATTCGAAAAAGTAGCAAAATAAGCGTTCGGCATTTAACGTTTTATGTAAAACTGGCTAGATATTTTTACACAAATGAAGAAGGAAATTAAAGATAAAGTATTGTACTATATCCGTATTGTAGCACATTTTTAACAATTTCTGTATTTTTAAGATTTTGATGATCAAACTCATCAACAAAATATTCCTTATGATTGGACTAAATTTTTTCGAAAATAAAGACAATTTAAAATTCCGTTAAAATACGGAAATAGATTGAAGTCTGTGATTACAGTGATATACAGGGTTGTTCACTACATACGACACGGAATATTGTAGCTAAACGATTAGATTTTTACAAATTGTAAGTTTTGGGTTTGTTGAAGGACTATTAGAGCTACAATTTAAAAATATTTTTACATGACACATAGTATCCCAAATAAATAATAAATATTAAAGTTGTATTTTTTTAAATGGAACACCCTGTATATTATTACATTTTTAGTTTCTACGATTAAAATAAAGGTAAATTTTATTAAGGTTTATTACACTTAAACCTTACCGTTCTTGAAATATTTTCAATTTTGTGAAATTGCAGTTTAAATTTTAAGGTTTCATTTCTCCGAGGGTATCAAAGTTTTTAATACTAAATATTTACTGAAGTTTATTTATTGATCAGTTATTGTGTTGCAATAATAAAAATTTTACTACCTTATACAGAGTGTCTAAATATTTATTTTAAATAATTATCACCTTTAAACGGCAATAACTTGTTTAATTTAAATAGAACACCCTGTATATTTTATGAGAGTCGGATGCACAATTTAATTGTCTATCAAATTGTGTTATACCATTTTTTACCTATCTCTTCAAGTTTCCGTAGAAAATACATTTTCTTGTAATTTAGAACTCATTTATCAATATACCCATGGAATACTGACATTTTAGATTATTTTTAAAGATGTACCAAATTTTTAAAGAGTAAAGTACGTCTGCTGGATCTGTGTCTATGAAAGGAATGCGGACAAAAAACATTTAAATAAACAGCAATATATTTTATACGTCGACTTGACGAGTACGTCACCGCAAATCGCTCCGCCCACTCATTTTATTGGCTACTTGCAAATTTGTCGAATTTTTATTGATGGGACGCGTCGTCTAATTTTTTACGAAAAACATCCGAGAGAATATCGTTTCCCCTCTCACGGATACCCCGCTACAGAACGGACAGACGTACTGTACAGATACTAATATTGTCGATATAGTTCGTTTATTTCATTAAAAAATAAAAAAAAGACTGTTTAAATATTTGTTAAAGACGACCAATTAATGTGATTCCAGTATTCAAAATACATTAATTGACTGTTTGCGTTGATTAATAATAATTGCTCCAAATACTAAAAAAAATGAATTATGTATGTGTATTAGACAGTGTGGTAAAAAACTAACACCTTAAAAAATATATTTTATTTTTTGACAAATGCTTATTTATAACAACAGAGACGTTCATTTTCATAACTTATTATTATATTGATTTCTGATTCAAATCCTCATTTATTTAGAATAATTTATTAACGAACACAATTAAGTATGTAATTAATAACGGAAATACTGGTGGTATACTGGTGGTATATTTCATTTAATATACTCTTTTATAAAGATTTAAATAGTTTTTTTTGCATACAAACGGGCTAGTAATATTATCGTTTTACTAAAAACGATAATATTACTAGCTTATGTTGTTTTAAAAACAATCTAAAATGTCAATATTCTATGGGTATATAAATGAGGTCTAAATTATAAGAAAATGCATTTCTACGAAAACTTGAAGGGGTAGGTAAAAAGTGCTATAATACAATTTGATAGACAATTAAATTGTGCATCCGACTGTCATAAAATATACAGGGTGTTCCATTTAAATTAAACAAGTTATTGCCGTTTAAATCTAGTAATTATTTAAAATACATTTTTAGACACTCTGTATAAGGTAGTATAATTTTTATTATTGCAACACAATAACTGATTAATAAATAAACTTCAGTAAATATTTAGTATTAAAAACTTTGATACACTCGGAGAAATGAAGCCTTAAAATTTATACTGCAATTTCACAAAATTGAAAATATTTCAAAAACGGTAAGGTTTAAGTGTAACCTTAATCAAATTTACGTTTATTTTAATCGTAGAAACTAAAAATGCAATAATATACAGGGTGTTCCATTTAAAAAAATACAACTTTGATATTTTTTATTTATTTGGGACACTCTGTATCTTGTAAAAATATTTTTAAATTGTAGCTCTAATAGCCCTTCAACGAACCCAAAACTTACAATTTGTAAAAATCGTTTACCTACAATACTCCGTGTCGTATGTGGTGAACAACCCTGTATAATTTATATGGTTTTGTAACAAATTACTCGCGATTTAAATGCTGAAGTTCTGCAAACATTAATCAAGCCTTAATCCAAGCATGTCTGTTTGAAATTTTGGGTGTGGCTTAACATAACAGGATCGGGCTAAGTCTTAGGCAGATTTCTGAAATATAATATATATTTTCTTCGGCCACACATCCGAACAGTCAAGCGTAATAGACTCTTAAACCCTCCACCCCATCCAAAGGGACGCGTGGTTAGATAGAAGACTAGCCTCTACTGGTCTCAACCTTCGCGGCATCAGGGGATACCCTATTGTATTTGGCCCAATCCTGGAAAAAAGGAAAAGTAAAGGAACAAAGGAACAGCCAGGAGCATTTCCACCAAAAGGCAAGAGAGAGAGAACGAGCACTTCTCACCTCTGCTCCGGCAAGAAGAAAAAAAGCCAGAATGGAAAGCCGTCCAATACGCACAGGCAAGCAGGGACGCATCACCAGCTTTGCCAGAACTCCAATGAAAGGACATCCAGTTGGTGAGTCCAACTTGAGGGAGGAATCCTCGCAATAGGGATTGACCTCAAATCTAAGGAGGCAATAGAGAAAGAGGAAAGAGAGAATAATTATCCTCTATTATAGATCTGGGAGCCAACGCCGTATCAGATCTAAGGAGAGACCAAGTTAAAAAGGTGGAGAAAATGGAGACTGATCATCCAGCCTCTACCTCACGGGTACCTCATCGGGAGATAAGCTCTTTGACTGTGAAGGGCTAACCCCCAACCCTGTAAGGATGTATTCTCATATGGCCACTCCATGGAGAATGAATATCTGTGATCAGAGGAGGATGGGAAAATATCCTGTCCCCCTACAGTAGGAACATCCCTATGTATGATGAGTTATAGACCGTATTGTTGCGGACCCGTGTGGACTCGACCTAACCTATCTATATGTCCCGCCCTCAGATGACCTTAACATCGCATTAAAGAATAGACACCGTAATGACTCATTCGTTCGAGAAGAATCGAGTCCCACTGGAATGGACTAGTATATACGAGAACATTCGAAAACCCTCTCTACGCACCTAACGATCTATGGACTATTCTAGAGTTCTTTACCTGTCTGTATAAAAGCCGGCGGCTGTGGCCTACAGGGGGCAGTTATAAATATACCAGTGCAGTTGACGCGCTAAAATTCAAAATAAATTCTTAGTTATAAATCGTTTGTAAATAGTTCTATAAGTCTTTTATCGTTATTGTTTTTGTTAATTAGTGTTAAATAAGTAGTGTTTATATAAATTGTGACTTTCTATCCACACGGAACCGACGAAAAACGTAACAGTATGATGAGTTATAAGTCAATAACAACACAATATATTCTTTAAGAAGTTCTTTACGGCTATTCTTTTAAAAATTATATCAAGGTAAAAATGAATGCACAATTTAACACTTTTATTTGAAATCAGCGTGTTCCCGCGAGTTCGTTCGCGTCGAATTAATCATTATTTGTAATGGTGATGATAAAGCAAAGTAAGAATTTCCATTAACATACAAACTGGATAAAATTTTCTCACATTTATGTCAGCATAAGAAAAAACAATATGGCGATATTATTATATAACTTGGTAATATTTGAGTGGTAGTTTCATCTTGTTGGAATTTGACTTTCGAAAAATCCGTTTGCCAAAATTAAGCTTTTTACGTCAAGCAGTTTAAGCAGAATTGTGGTTAATCAATTACTCAACTTTTTGGAACACACTGTATGATTTTTTAAAAAAATTCAAAATTTGTAAAAAAACAAAATAAATTATGCATGTCCAAGCGTTTTCTCGAAAGACTAACCGTTTTTTAAATAACAAATATAGTAATATTTGAGGGGCGTTTTCACCCTCTTGGAATTTGAGATTCGAGAAACCCTTCCTTATCGAACCTCTACACCCCACAGTCAATCCGTTTGCCAAAAATCAGCTTTAAATGTCAAGCAGTTTAAGCGGAATTTTGATTAATCAATGGTCATATTTTATGAAACACCCTGTATAAATTTTTAAAAAATCTTAAAATATGTAAAACAACAAAATAAAATATACGTGTTTAAGAGTTTTTCCGAAAAACTCACCGGTTTTTAAAAAAAAAAATTTCTAATATTTGAGGGGTGGTTTCACCCCCTTAGAATTCGAATTTCGAAAAATCCCTTCTTATCGAGCCTCTACACCCTAAAGTCAATCCGTTTTCCAAAAATCAGCTTTTTACGTCAAGTGCTTTAAGCAGGATCGTAATTAATCAATGACCAGATTTTTCGAAACGCCCTGTATACATTTTTAAAAAATCTTAAATTATGTAAAAAAAACAAAATAAAATATACGTGTTTAAGGGACGTTGATCGTTTTTTAAATAAAAAATATTGTAATATTTGTGGGGTGGTTTCACCCCCTTGGAACTGGAATTTCGAAAAATCCCTTCTTATCGAACCTCTACACCCTAGATTCAACCTGTATGCCAAAATTGAGCATCTTACGTTGGGTGGTTTGAGCAGGATCGTGATTAATCAGTGTGTCAGTCACTTAAGGATTTTATATATTAGCCTTATTATAGGATTTTATATATTAGCCTTATTATAGGATTTTATATATTAGCCATTAGTATTAGTAAGGTATTAGTATAGATTACAGACACTAGAAAAAAACTAGGGTTGTCATTTAAAAAAAAAATGATGACGTTTATTTCAATTTGAGACAAGCTGTAAAAATATTTCTTGCAATAAAAAATACTAATCATCTACATGTCGAGCTAATTTCGGAAAAAAGAAATATATATGATTTATACTGGACATTATACAGATATATGGTATTTTGCAGGAACCAGTCAAAATGGCACCTACAATGACTACTATGGTCATATAGTAATGGAAAACATCGAAGATGTCCCATATAACACTTCAGCTATCTATGACAGTATTGCTGGAAGAGTTATTAGAAAAACCAATTACAGCCCTTTAACAGAAGTAGAGTATCAGAGTCTCAGATACCAGGCAACTGTGAAATGCACAGCAGTGAAAAAGAATGAATGCGATCCTGCAAGTAAGTACACGTCCCTGGTATTTTTAACGGATATTTGAACGTTTTTTATTATACGGGGTGGTTCAAACTGTATTCTCGAAACTTCGGCAGCACATTCCGCAGATAAAAAGAAGTAAAAAAGTTCGTATAAAATATCCTAAAATGATTAGTTTCGGAGATACACGGTGTAGTACATTGGTTTTTTTGACATGAGAAATTTGATTTTGATGTCAATATGACTCATGATTTATAGGTTGTAGGGTGCCACCTACATGTGTTTTAACTGTTTTCAGGTTTCGGGAATTATATCGTGTACTGTAATTCGGGTTTTCAAGAGTAATAACTTTTCGTCCATCCCGTATACAACTACTGAGTGAAAAATGTACATTTCCGTGATTTTTTACGCAAAAAATGTCTCTAGGTAAAAATCGCTACGAGCAATCGTTCTTATTTATAAGATATTTAGAAAGAAAATAGTCAATACATGTCATTATTAACAAAAAATCAAACAAAAATGTTGAGTATAATAGTTAGTTATTTGACTTAAATGATAAATTTGGGAACTTTTTATTTTCTTAAATTAATCAAAAAAATTTCTTCGAAAAATTAGTGATAAAACAGTTTCTGTTGAACTTTTCGGCCAAAAACATTTCAAATTTATGATTTCAGTCTAATAACTATTGTGTCAACATGTATAATTTATGTCAACGATGACAGGTATTGATTATTTCCATTCTAAATATCTTGAGAACGGTTGCTCGTAGCGATTTTTACCAAGAGACATTTTTTACGTAAAAAATCACGGGAATGTATATATTCACTCAGTAGTTTTATACGGGTACGGACGAAAAGTTATTACTCTTCAAATCAATTAAAACACATGCAAGTGGCGCCCAATAGGGCGCACAAATAGGAGTCATATTGCCATCAAAATCAAATATCTCATGTCAAAAAACTTCTAGACACCAATTTTCATCCAAATATTAACGTTACTTCAGAAATTATTTGGAAAAAATGCATCGAAATAAAAATGAAACTTCTGCACCCCGTATCTGCGAAACTAAGTATTTTAGGACATACATTAATATGAACTTCTTTACTAATTTTTATCTGTAGAATGTGCTGCCGAAGTTTCCGGTATACAATTCTGACGGACCACCCTGTATAAAGTCCAACGAATCGGGGAAGGTTTAGAAAATGATACAAAACAGTTTATAACTCTTTTCTTTTCTTTTAATGTCCAAGTTTCATAGCGGTGTACCATGAGTGCGTAGTATCAATTGATTGAAAAGTCTTTTTTAGACGGTGTTGCATTCTAGGCTTAAAAATGACAAAATTCAAATGCTCCCTATGTCAATTTTATTCTTCAGTTAACTTTTGGAAGTAGCACGGTAAGCACGGGCGTGTTTGGGTGCTCTAGCACCCACGAACCTAAGGGTACAAACATAGTGGAGGCAGGTTTCTGCTTACTAGCAAACAGCGCCGTCTCAGGGTACCTATTCTTGACCACTCGCATCTTCAAATATCGCTCGCATCTCGTATCTCCGAAAAAGCCATATAACAATACACGTGATGCGTATACGCAAAGTTGCGAACGATGTCAAGAATAGGTACCAAAAACATAGGTACCCAGATTGGCGTCGACTACCAGTAAGCTGAAAACCTGCTTGCACTGTGTTTCCACACTAAAGCTTGTTTCATATAGACGCGAAAAAATATTCGCAAAATTTGGACCTATTTCATACAGTCGCGAATTTTTAGGGACTATTCATTTTTGCTCCACTGAAAGTTACCAAAAAAAATCCTAACCTGAGATAACTTAATTTGTTTTATACATATTTATTCGTGTTTACGATCTTTATTTTATATTTTATAGCATACAATATGAGTTTAAATTTTTTTAATAATTATGAATATCGATTACGATTGTGGGATTGGAATAGAATAAGGTGCAAAATTGCCATTTACTTATTGTTAAAACGTAGAAGAGAACGGGTTTATAGTTTATAGCACAGGTTTATAGGTCATTTATGGGTCATTTGGGACATGTGAAATATTCAAATTTCGTAAGCAACAAGCTGCTTGTCAAACTTTAATTCAAGAAATAAGCAAAAAAATGAGAAAAAAATTAGGAATTTTCACAGATTGTCTGTATAGGAGTTTGATAACTTGGTTGAAGTTGAAAAATTGTCACCATATATATATCAAAAACATATGCACGAGAACCAAATACGTTTAAATTATTTTAAACGTATTTGACTATCTATTTGACGAGAACCCATTTCAACTGGAGAAATGCTTTCAAGTTACTTTGCGACAGCGTCGTCAAAATAATCGATAACCGGATCACAATACCATACTGCGCAAACGCGAACCTTAAAATCGCGCGAATATTCGCAAAAAGTTGAAAACACTTTAACTTTCCCGCCCCCCAAATTTTAAATCTTGCGAATCGCCAAAATCTTAAAATTTCTGACAGCGCCGCCATGATCAGTAAAATTGGACCAATGAGAGCAGTTTCGCAAAATCGCAATTCGCGATTCGCGTCTATATGAAACAAGCTTAAGACTCAAAACTAATCAATCAACACCGCGAGGCAAAACTTCGCGTCGGCATCGTTTGCATTACTGTTTTCTTCTGTTTTTCTACTGTTTCTTCTGTTTTCGTCTGCATTACTGCATCTACTGTTTTCGAAGAAGTCAGTTAGTTTTTATATCAATATATTCAATATATTTACAGGGGGTTAAAAACTTCAGTTTTTTCAATTTGTTATAATTTATTTCCAAGGAAGTTATAACAAAAATTGACTTCTTCGAAAACAGTAGATGCGCATCATGCAAACGACGCGAAGTTTTGCCTTGCGGTGGATGAGATAAGTGTCGCTTAAATTGGCTAAACTGATTAGTTTTGATTCTTAGTGTGGAAACACAGAGCAAGCAGGTTTTCCGCTGTATATTCATACAGGATGCTTCAAAACACATGTAACATCTCTCGGGGGGCGATTCTTCACGTAAAAATAAAAATTGACTTCTGAGGAAGTTAAAATATATAAATTTTGTTTTAGCTGGGGCTGTTTGTTTGTACGACATACCCAGCGATCCATGCGAAGAAAACGACTTAGCCAAATTCTTCCCAAGCGTAGTAAGACGAATGAAAAGAGCCTTAGTAGACTATAGAAAAGGTCTAATACCTCAAATAGAAGGAGAAATAGATATAGAATCGGACGATCCCAAGTTGTTCAAGTATACATGGTCACCATGGTTGGAGTGCGCCGATAGTTCGTGTCAGATAGCTTAGAATGTGCCTTACATACAGGGTGATTCATTATGATTAAGAAAAAAAATCAATTCAACTTTTGTTGGTTAACATTAGACGAAAAATGGTATAATTTTCCAGATACGGAGTGTGAGTTTTTTCCACGTTATAAGCAATTAGTGTGTTTTATTTTTTTTTAATATTAATGAATCATCCTTTACTATTATTTTATGGTATATTGTGATATAATATTTAGTAAATAATAAGTATTACAACAGTTAAAAATATTTTGTTTTCTTTATGAAAATGGGTAATTTAAACTATTTTTTTGGATACGATTTATATTCCTTTAAATAGACTATTAGTTAGTAATTTTATTAGTTCAATGCTGTGAGTAAAAATATTAAAGAATGAGCATAACAAAACCTTAGATCGAACGCGACGGTGAACTAAAATGGCCGACAATGTCAATAAATGTTGGTAGTTATTAAAATTGTCATAAAAATATATAATTCTAGTAAAAATAGATTAAGTTATAATAATTATTTATTACCCCAAACATCCGCTACGCTACTGAAGCGGATAAGTCAAATTGACCTATCTAAATTCGTTGACATCTAATGTTGGACAAGTAGTAAATAAAAGCAAAATTGCAAGGAAAAATAGATAATTAGTGAATTCTAAGTCAATTTCATAAATGATCGATTTACTACACGAGTTATACAACGGAAAATTGCTGACGTAGTGCCGGTGCCGGGACCGGCCAGTGCTTAGTGTGCATATGTTGCGAATCTTCTTGTTTTCTAACAGACCATTTTAGCTTCAGACATATATTTGATTTTAAGTAAATTAGATGTATTAATTTTAACTTTTGTATTTTATTTTTTATAAGCAACTTTAATGTAAAAGTAAAATAAAGTTTTTAAAAAGATGATTGTGTCGTCTCGTATTATAAGTGGTACAGTCGGTAGGATTGATTCTACCGAGGCAGGAGTTATACAACGAAAAACTGCTGACATAGTGCCGTTGCCGGATAGTGCTTAGTGTGCATATGTTGCGAATCTTCTTGTTTTCTAAGATACAATTTTATATTCAGACATATATTTGATTTTAAGTAAATTAGATGTATTAATTTTAACTTTGATATTTTATTTTTATAAGCAACTTTAATCCTTGTTTATATATTCAAAAATATATATACAAGGCTTTAATGTAAAAGTAAAATAACGTTTAAAAAAAGAAGATTGTGTCGTCTCGTATTATAAGCCACACTGTACCGTATGATCGAAAAAAAAATGGCGTAAGCGATGGCTATGAAATGAAGATAGCTGTCATTTTATATGCAATTTTATATTGAAAATGTCATCGATCGTCATTTCCTAACCAACCGTTTTTTTCATACGGTATATTATATAGTGACTTTCTAGTGAAAACTTATTCTATTATTTCCCCCGAATTGTGACCGAGATTTAGCGCACGCTACACAACCATCTATTTTACAGTTTTGTTCGATAATATATAGATAGCATTATAATCATTTTATTCAAAGGTTCAATGTCATTTCTGGGCAAATTTTCTTTTTATAATATATTTTAGGCACTGTAAAAAATATACTTGGAAAATTAAAACAAACTGTTACAACTAAATATATTTATTTGTTATATAAAAATATTTACAACAACTGATTCTTTGGTTTACATAGAACTGAGCTTTTCTTATAAATAACATTTTTTAAGTATTATATTAAAAATACTTTATTTTTAACAAATCAGTCATTAATTTTTTGATAAAATGGACGGACATCATTATTGCTATTAATTTTCTAATTTCTTAAATTTCTAATTTTCTTTTGTACATTCAATGCTTAGTTGTATAGAAGACTCAAACTTTTACTCAACACTCAACAAATTTTATGGCAAGATAAGATAATAGATATCTGTACAGAAATTTTAAAGAAGAAATTATTTTAAAGAGACTCTATGATTTGGTATAAATATAAATTATTGTATTTAAGAAAAAGTACGTATTATATATAAACAATGTTGAATAAAAATATTTTAACCCATGACTAAAGAATACAAGGACCAATATCACCAGGAACCAAAGTGTTACCAGTTGACACCAATGCTATTTGGACAGTGCCGTATCTGAGGATTAATACAGAAAAATGCAGAATTAAATAAAAATTACTATTTTAATTGTGTCATAAATATTTTTTAAAATTATTATTCGATACTAATTTATAAGTTCGTCCTTGTATTCTTTAGCCACTGGTTTTAACGTATTCCAGACTTAGTTATTTATAAAAATAAACATATTTAAGTAGGTATACATCATAGGAACTGTTTTTTTTTGTTTTAAATTTGGGAAAAAGTATGTGAAAGTTTTAAGTTTAAAAAGTGTGACATATTTTTTTATGCAATTATATACTTATACACTTATACACTTATACAATACAGAGTGTGTTTTCTTTACATACAGATATTTGTGCTTCTTGCATTATTCTAAGCCTGGGTCCTAAAGGAATACCCATTTTTTGAAGGCGGTCTTCTGTCAAATAGGGCAGTTCGATCATGCCGATTTTTTCGTTTTCAAAAGTAGTGGCGTATTTCTTAAAAAAATACTTAGATGAATTTTATGACAAAATATAAATATAGTATCGACTTACCTCGTAACCTAATTTCCTCAAAAATAATCGTAGTAAGGGTGGTTCATCTCCAAAAAACTTGGTTAGCTTCTTAACCCTCGTTGGATTGGCTAAACTAGGCAGGTCTCTATTAGTTGTTGGTCTTAAAGCTGACTGTGATCTAGTATTAAAAAAAATACAATAATTTACTTTTTTATTTACAGAGTGTTCTATTCTCGTTTATAGTAGTGAGAAGCAAAAAAAAGCGACCAAGAAATTTTTGGTCAAGTTTAAAATGTTATATTTTTTTTATTTTTATCCCTATTTCATTGATTTTTTAGCAATCTGTATATAAATATATCAACTGTAATTCGTAAACTCAGTTTATTATAAACTTTAGTATTTGACTTATTATACAGGGTTAAGCGAAGAGCTGTTTTGTACTCTAGCTTTCAAACACACTGTGCAGTAATTTCGTGAGCAAATTTTCCTAAAATATTATTTTTCGGTCAGATATTATATATTATATGTCTCTCAAATATTTTGTTTTTGACTCATGTCAACACATGCCTTTGTTAATTTTTAAGAGCAAAATGAATTTGCCACATTTGCAATTTTTTCAATATATCGTTTTTTTTAATGTTATTCTTCACAATGACGCTTTGGTGATTATTGTTGTGTAGAATTGAATATGGTTCTTAGTGTCTATGATTGCGCAAAAGTCATTAATCTTGTTGAAGATAACCGACATTATGAATATTCGCTTGGTCTTTGAAGAAGAGTGGTAAAACATATCACAATATATTTGCAGCCTCATTACTGCTATGTGCTATAATTTATCTATACTAATATATAAAATCCTTAAGTGATGATTAATCACGATCCTGCTCAAACCACTCAACGTAAGAAGCTCAATTTTGGCATACAGGTTGATTCTAGGGTGTAGAGGTTCGATAAGAAGGGGTTTTTCGAAATTCCAATTCCAAGAGGGTGAAACCACCAAATACCATATATTTTATTTAAAAAACGGTCAAGTTTCCAAAAAAAAAACGCTTAAACACGTATATTTTATTTTGTTTTTTTATATATTTTAAGATTTTTTAAAAATGTATACAGGGTGTTTCGAAAAATCTGGTCATTGATTAATCACGATCCTGCTTAAAGCGCTTGACGTAAAAAGCTGATTTTTGGAAAACAGATTGACTTTAGGGTGTAGAGGTTCGATAAGAAGGGATTTTTCGAAACTCGAATTCTAAGGGGGTGGAACTATCCCTCAAATATTAAAATATTTTTTATTTAAAAACCGGTGAGTTTTTCGGAAAAACTCTTAAACACGTATATTTTATTGTGTTGTTTTACATATTTTTTAGATTTTTTATAAATTTATACAGGGTGTTTCATAAAATATCACCATTGAGTAATCACGATTCTGCTTAAACTGCTTGACGTTTAAAGGTGATTTTTGGTAAACGGATTGACTGTGGGGTGTAGAGGTTCGATAAGGAGGGGTTTCTCGAATCTCAAATTTCAAGAGGGTGAAAACGCCCCTTGAATATTACAATATTTGTTATTTAAAAAACGGTTAGTCTTTCGGGAAAACGCTTGGACAAGCATAATTTATTTGGTTTTTATACATATTTTGAAATTTTTTAAAAAAATATACAGGGTGTTATTAAAGTTACCAAAAAGTTAGGTAATTTCTTAACCACGATTCTGCTTAAACTGCTTGACGTAAAAAGCTTATTTTTGGCAAACGGATTTTTCGAAAGTCAAATTCCAACGAGATGAAACTACCCCTCAATTATTACCAAGTTATATAATAATATGGCCATATCGTTTTTCTCATGCTGACATAAATGTGAGAAAATTTTATCCAGTTTGTATGTTAATGGAAATTCTTGCTTTGCTTTATTATCACCATTACAAATGATTAATTCGACGCGAACGAAGTCGCTCGTACACGCTAGTAGATTTATATACAGTTTGATGAAAAATTCATGAGGGCTAAAAGTAAAAAAATGTAACACTTTAAACTTGACAAAAAAATTCTACGTTGCGTTTTTTTGCATCTGAGTGTATATTGGAATATAAAAATTTCCATCAGGCAAATATTCTTATAATTTCTTTCATTAAAGTTATATTTGCGTTAAATTACTAAAAATATTATTTATCATGCAGAAAGTGCATATAAAACAATTAGTTACAAATTTAATAATTGATTAAATAACATTGAAATTTACGCTTACCTTATATTAAGCATGTTGGTCTGTGCCCTCAGAGCTGCCACTTCCTGCCTTACAGCTTCCATTTCCTGCGTGACCATATGCTGAGTCCTCATCTCACTGGATAAGTGAGCCACACTTCGAGCCAACGTTACTACGTGAGCCTCAAGTCTCTGGAATCTCCTGGCTGTAGCTCGGGGTTCCCCACGACCTCCGGCACCCCGTCTGCGGTCCTCTGGGATGCACCTGGTACTTCTTCTTTCTCTTCGAATGGAGCTGACTGAGGACGATATGAGAGAAGACATGCTACCATACCTATGTGAACAATATGCTATTAATGGAAAGATCTTTTATAATTAAACAGACAACAATGTACCAGCAAAGGGAGAATCTTCAAAATCGAGGATAAGCAGACCATATTTGTTAAACAGTAAAAACTCCTTAAGGGATGTAACTGAGCACTGAGAAGTAAGTTTTGAAAATTTATACTCTTATAAGCAAGCAACATTAAGAGTCTATTACGCTATACTTTCGGGTCGTTCTCAGGGGTCGGGTAAAGCGGGTGTGTGGCCGAAGGAAATCTATATTATTTTTCAGAAATCTGCCTAAGGATTAACCCGACCCTGTTGTGTTAAGCTACATCCAAAATTCCAAACACACGTACTTTGATTAAGGCTTGATTAAGATTTGCAGAGCTTCAGCATTTGCCATAAAATAGCGAGCAATTTGTTACAAAACCATATAAATTATATATCACTGTATCACAAAACTTCAATCTATTTCCGTAATGTAACGGAATTTTAAATTATGGCTTTATTTTCGAGAAAATTTAGTCCAAACATAAGGAATATTTTGTCGCTTTTTGACCATCAAAATCTTAAAAAAAAGAAGTTGTCAAAAATGTGTTACAATACGGATATAGTATAATCCTTTATCTTTAATTTCCTTCTTCATTTGTGTAAAAATACCTAGCCAGGTTTACATAAAACCATAGTTTAAGGAAAAGAGTAGTTGCACTCGTTGCACCAGTTTTTGCAAGCTGTCGAATATCGGCAGCTTGTAAAGCGTTTCAGTCAGGTGGATGACACTTCTTATGGGAGAACTGGCAACTTAGGATATTAAACTACTTAGGATATTGAAATTATTATATACTGTAGTCGTGTTTGGCATTATGCTCTGAGAAATATAGATAAACAGCATCCCAGAGGAAAAGAGAGGCAATACCTGTACTCTCTCTGATATTTGTGAAAGTTACGGCAAAGTATTGTTGTAAATGTCATCTTTTTGATCGACCTGAAAACTTTGAGCAAAAAGATGACACTTTCAACAATACCCTGACAGATATCAGAGACGATACAGGTTTTTCCTCTCCTTTCCCCTGGAATACTTTTAATTTATTATTCTTTGTTTATCTAGATTTCTCAGAGCACTATGAACGAACTCAGCTTGTATGTTTAAAATAGTCATCCAGTTGGCTTAAAAATGACGATCGATGACATTTCCCATATAATTTTACTTTCAAAATTATGATATATATCTTCATTTCTAAGCCATCTATGACGCCATTTTTTTCAGTTTTGTTATAATTAATTTTGTCTCTTGATCTACTTGTAACATTACTTAAAAATGATGATCGATGACATTTCCCATATAATTTTACTTTCACAATTATGATATATATCTTCATTTCCAAGCCATCTATGACGCCATATTTTTCAGTTTTGTTATAATTAATTTTGTCTCTTGATCTACTTGTAACATTACTTAAAAATGATGATCGATGACATTTCCCATATAATTTTACTTTCAAAATTATGATATATATCTTCATTTCTAAGCCATCTATGACGCCATTTTTCAGTTTTGTTATAATTAATTTTGTCTCTTGATCTACTTGTAACATTATTCTTTTAATTTTATTAATTTATTGTGGTGAAATTAATTTCTGTTGTATATTTGATATTGTTATTAAATATATTTTTTGTGTTTTTATGTGTCATAATTAATTAAAAATAAACGAAGAATTAAATTTTTTTATGTTTTTGAACTTCCCGCCATGCGTGACAATCTAGTCCGTAGTTCCTACAAGCGATATTGTGGGCGCTAGTAGCAGTAGACTTGTCAACAGTGTCAAATTTAAACGTCAATTTCACTTTCCAATATTTAGCAAGGCGCTCGCACTTCTTCTTGTGTATGTGTTTTGTGGTTTCAGTTGAATTCCGTCCGTCGAGCTGCGAGGTTCGAGCGTTGCGTCCCAGCACAGAGACGGATTGACAAAAAATGAGTGCCTTACTGTATGCTGCTATTAATTGTAGTAATAATTCAAAAAATTGTTCTTTGAGTTTTTTTAGATTTCCATCGGATGTAAATCGGCAAGCTGATAGTAATTATCAATAAACATTTAATTATATTTGTTTATTTTAGAAGCTGAGATATTATGTAATTAATTAAATGTTATTATTTTTTTTAGCATGTGGACAAATCTTAGAAATAGTTTTTTAGATATACAGGTTGTCTCAAATATGCGCATGAAAATATTCTTTGGTCATGGGATTTGCCATAAAATTTTCATTCCAATAATAATTTACGAGATAATTTATATAGATTGGTTTTTGAAACAATTTTAGAGTAAATATTTTGTACATCTAAAGTCTCCGCAAATTATTCATATTTTTTAAATGAAAGAATTTTATAATAGCATAATCTATTATAAATTTAATGGACTGTATTTTTTTATGTTTTTTTTTTATTTTATTTATTTTTTATTATAAGTGGTCGTAATATAACAATATTCAAAATATTATAGATAAAATATTGAGTTTCTATTTGAGGGAAGAAAAGTGCCACACCTAGCTTTAAACCACAGTAAATATACAGAGTGGCCCATTATTGCGAAGAAGTCCAATATCGTCGTTCTTGTCGAAGATGTGAAAAAAGTTTTATTCATATGTTTCAAGGTTTATAAAGGGTCGTATCCTAAAATATTTCGTTATATACAGGGTGTCACAAAAAAGTTATGGTAAAGTTAATTTTATTTTTTTAATTATTTTACATCATTCTATATAGATTATTCTATATAGGGTATTTTTATGGCGATGGCGTCACCAAAATCGGAATATTTAAAATGGTATATCTCAATTTTTTTAAATGCAACATTCTGTATATTATTTTTCGGTCAGATGCAGAATTAAAAAGTGAACATTTTTTTATTTAAAGTGTTTCTCTAAGTTTTTAACGGTTTCGCAGATATTCGCAGTATTATATTACATATAGCCCTTTCAACAGTAAATTTTTATCAAAGCCACCTAATATGATCTTTGTCTGATATTTTATCGTTGAAAATCGCATATGTAATAAAATACAGAAAGTATTTGCAAAACGCCTAAAAATTTAAGAACACTTTAAATACAAAAAATGTTCACTTTTTAATTCTACATCTGAAAGAAAAATAATACACTAGGTGTTTGGTTTGGTTTGGTATGTAAATTTTTCTACACGAATTTATTTTGGTGTCCTTGTCATGTTTAAGAAAACATGGCTAAGTATTAATAAAGTTATATTCACTCTAGTTTTTTGCCACTTTTTAAATATAATGTTTTTAACCAAAGTTTTAGTAAATAAGAAATAGAATGGCAACACCGCAGTGTGCTTTAAATAGAATCCAGTTATTTACAGAAAATTGTAGAAAATCTCTGAAATAGGTAATAATATAAAAATATGTCATTATATATATTTTCCGCATTTCTTCCCATCAGAAGATTTTCAGATACAGAAGAATTGTTACCTACACGAAATGTGAAAACATTTTGTTTTCAAGCAAGTTTTTACTCGATGATTAATTTATTTTATTTTATTTGATTGGGAACTCCTATTTTTGTAAATACATATCTGTGAAACTACGGCGAGTGCCACGACTATACTTTGCCTAGTTAATAGACCACAACTATACAGCTACGTCAGTGGTCACGGGAGGCGAGAACAAGGTCATATAAAGTGGCAGAAAAAGAACAAAGGATTTGACAAGGAGTAAATCTACTAGTTTCCTTATACTATGATAAAACGTTAAATGCCAAACGCTTATTTTGCCACTTTTTCGGACTGAAGAAATGGACTCTTAAGGGGAAAGGGGAGAAATAAGAAATAACACATACCTTCTTTTACTACACTTTGGATCCGAAGGTTGGTACCTTCCAGTTTTCTTGTTTACTCCTAACAATTTCAGAACTTCCGAATACATGGTTTCTAAACCTTCCAACTGTTTTCTGATAGTTTTGGCATCTGCCATGCTTAAATCGCCATCTGAATCAGTCTGACCTTCAAGCATTGATTCCAGATCTAGTGATCTGGTAGTTGTTGATGTTAGATCGGTGTTGTCCAAACCAAATACTATTCAAATAAAAAAAATATGCATAAATACTTCAGTTGTATCATAATTCATGAACATATGAGACACACTTTATAATTATTAATAAATATAAGTAGGTTTACCACAAATAATTTAATCAAACTTTTTATTTAGATTATTTGACAAGAGACGTATAAAACTGTTTAGAAAAGTTTATCAAGTCTGTCGTGTGAGTATTATTTTAATTCTTACAACTTATTAAATAATAAGTTACCCTATCGCCTACCTCAACATAGTAAATCCCGTAGAAATTTTAAAACATTAATAACATTTTCCTACTTTATTTTGAAATAAAATTTATATGAAACATTTTAGAGAACTCATTAAATTTTTAGAAATTTCTATTTTAGTTGTAAAAACTAAAAGTTTATGATTTTCCATTAAATCATTTTTGAAGCGAAACTTCTTTACGCGCTATGGGAGTGAAAATTCAAGGCCGTGATACACCAAAGCCTTGACACGACATGCCATGACACACGAGCTAGCGAGAAAAAAAGAGTAGTAAGGATCGCGCAAACACCAAACAACATTTGATTTAAAGATAAGCAAATCATTGTAAACTTGATACCTAGGTACCAATATCCTCTGGTCCACAAAATCTGCAGGCTATTGAGGAAAATGTAGAGATTACAGAAATAAATTGAAAATAACATTTGTATTAAAACAGCATTACATGTCACTTTTTCAAACATGTCAGACTCTCAGAAAAATTGCACATTATATTTAATCAGAGACACCTACAGCAAAATAATTTAAATAAAAAGTGTAAAGGTACTAGGTACTATATTTTTTATTTACTCACTTTGTTTTCCTCTGAGTATAGTGTTAGGATCAACTTTACGAGAAGACTTGTATTTCTGGGAACTATCCAAATATCTGGGTTTGCCATTCATGCCGTTTTTCTCATAATCCAATTTACCATCATAATGTAAACTAGGAAAATATATATTCAAGTAAATATAAATACCTAGCATTATTAAATTACAATACAGAGTCTTAAATTAAGTGCAATTTTCAGGGCTGGTAGATCTCGATAAAAGAAACATATTTTTCTTGACCGTTTTTCAAACACGTTAAATATTAAAAAAATGCTTTTTTGCCTAAATTTTGAGAATCACTGAATTTTTTCTGGGTTTTCATTATTCTAAATTATTTAATCTACAACCTATGTAGTCATATTATCAAGATATTATGTTTTTAACCAAAAATTAAATGTTTTTAACGAAAAATTAAAAAACGTAATATTCTAAATTTTCAGTTTTTTTTCGCAAAAAAAACTTCATAGGCTAAGAACATAGTGGAGTGATGAGGATAGCGGCTAGCAAACAGCGCGACATCGCGTCCAAAACAAACCTGTGAAGACAAGTACGTACGAACATAGTAAAGGATGATTCACGGTACCTATCACCCCTAAAAATATTTGTACTTATTTAAAACTCACCCTGTATAAAGTTACTGTTTTAGAAAATATATATTTAAAAAACACACTTCTGAGGAAATTTACCTGCTATGTTTGTAATGAGCCATATTTCTTGGCGTCATGGTAGGAGATGAATTCTCAGCCACTGACAATGGAAGTAGCGGAGGTGTCATGGAAGATATACTCTCACTAACGGTAGAATTTGCAATAGCAGGGTTATTATTCTGCAGTGACAGTTCTTGCAGTTTTGGTTCTAAGATATGCCTCAGTTCATGTTCAACGATGTCAACCCATTCCGAATCATGATCTGCTGAACAATAAAATATAAGAATATATTAACGTCTTTCATTTATAATAATAATAGCTCCCGTATATAGCTTTTAACGCCTTGGGAGTAGCAAGGTAACCGCCTATCATTACCTCAGGATTGTGAATCCCAAGTACTCATTTAAGGCTGAGTCGACCTTGGTATCCAAACTATTCTTATTTTATTAAAAATAGTCGGCTGATGAAATGCCGAGTGTAGGATTCGAACCGACAACCTTGAGATTGGTAGACGAGAGCTGTACCTCTACGCCACCGGACACCTTTCATTTAAATTTAGAAAATATACCTTGGTTTGATATGTCACCGTATTGTTTGGTTTGATCTCCAGTTATTTCTACATCAGTGTTTTGAAGATCATCCATTGGCAGTCGACGTCCGCTGCTGTATGCTGCACTTCCTCTGCCGGAATCAATATTAGATGTCCTTTCACCTAAGAATTTCAAGAATATAAAGTAAAATATACAGAATGACAGTAGAAGACCTAGCCCAGTTTTAGACCACTTAATATACTGGAAGATAGCTGTAATTAATTATTTCAACTTTTATTAATCAAATAATTAAATTAACTAAAGTCTGACTACTAATATAAAACTGATATCACTTTGAAACAGAAATGAAACATAACTAAGAAGAACAACAATTGGAATAATTTATCTTAAATCGACTAATGCTTGAACACTTGTTAAAAACTACAATAAATCGTAGAAATCACACCCCAGGCTTCACTCCTTCTCATCAGTGATCAGATGTTGATTAATCAAGTTTTTATGTGTTCTAACAAAATCTGATAAATTAAAAATCACGGCCATCTCCTTATTGCGTGCTCTAGAACCTACCTAGTCATTCTACTGGTGACACTTTTTACAAATAAATCTCATCATAGTTCCTGTTATATACACTCACCGGCAAAAAAAACGGCCACTAAAAACTAGTCCCAATTTCAGAGTTGGATTTCTCGCGAACCACTTATTAAATTTTGATATTTTTTTTAAATTGTAAATTAAATCCTTCTTAACGGATGCTATGTCAGAAATTTTTATTCCGAATTTATTTTGAGCATATACAGTGCACAACAATAAGACGAAGGTTTTTGCTCAAACTTTGTGACACCCTGTAGGGTGCAACAACTGTAGTAGCTATTGCTAAATCAAATCACATTGTAGCCTCATCGTTTGTGAGCATTTTATTTTTTTAATCACGACATTATCTCTGTTCGTATTGGAGATACGCTGCTTTAAAACGAACGTCTCGGAAAAATGCTTTGCAGGCAAAACCGCCACCAAACCAATTCACATGTAAACGCGCAAACTGAAGACGTGCTCAACGATGTCTTGGAAGTAGCTGGGGTCCTGTGGCAGGTCTCCTTGCAGACAAGCTGTTTTCTTTTAGTCTGCGTTGGATTGTTCTCTCACTGACTTGAGTTCTACGCACGGCTTGTAGCAGATGTTGAATCTGAAACTCTGTAATTCTACGATTTCGTAAATTATTCAGGACAATAAAGTGGTCGTCAATTGCATTTGTCTTCCGATTTCTTCCGGAACCCACTCGCCTGGTGAAATTCCCCGTTTCCATATACCGATTCCAGGCATCCTGGACTGTTGTTCGAGGTATGCCCAGGGTATCGGACACATAACGTTGACTTCGGCCATCCTCAATAAAAGCCACAATACGAGCAACATCCGTCACAGATAATGGCATTTTTTAATTTGACAACCGTTGTTGTGATATTGCAAATACTCATAAATCCGTTTTTGCCTATATCGCCTTGATTATTTACACATAAAACTTTCTGCCTGCGAAGCATTTTTCCGAGACGTTCGTTTTAAAGCAGCCTATCTCCAATAAAAAGAGAGATAATGTCGTGATTAAAAAAACAAAATGCTCACAAAAGATGAGGCTACAATGTGATTTGATTTAGCAATAGCTACTACAGCTGCTGCACCCTACAGGGTGTTACAAAGTTCGGGCAAAAAACTTCGTCTTATTGTTGTGCCCTGTATATGCTCAAAATAAATTTGGAATAAAAATTTCTGACGTAGCATCCGTTAAGAAGGAATTAATTTACAATTTAAAAGAAAAATCATCAAAATCTAATAAGTGGTTCGCGAGAAATCCAACTTTGAAATTGGGACTAGTTTTTAGTGGCCGTTTTTTTGCCGGTGAGTTTATTACATTTTAAAAGGGTATTTAATAATACATTTTTTTTAATACTTTTAGTGATATGTAACAACAGAAAAATAAAACCGTAATTTACCACAAAACACCAACACACTTTACGTTAAACTTTTTTACGTACTTAATAATTTTTTAAAAACTTAAAATTGCAATGAAAAGATGCTCTAAAAATATCCATTACCTGTTTTGTCATAGTCAGAGCTTGTAGCTGAACTACAAGCAGGCATTTTATTTACACAATTAGTTTGAGTATGATGAGCAGTTTCTGTTAGTCCATCGCACCCGAATGTTAAACGATGATTCAAGTTATAGACACCTTCGATCTTGCCTGTAAACCACCAAGTTATACATACAGGGCGTCAAATTATTTTATCAAACTTATCTAATTTTAATGTTATCAAAATCCTACTGTATGTCCTGGAGAAGGAGGTTCTACTTACTAATATGCTCTAATGTTAAGATATAATTAAATAAAATTTGAAACACCCTGTATATATTTTCTGTACCAAGTACTTAGGTCTAATTTTAAGGAAATAATTGAACAAGAGAAAATATTAATAGAATTGATGACGTAGATATGTTATTTACCACTGAATAAAAAGACTAAGGAAGGAGTATATCAACAAAATTAACGAGACCAATAATTTACTGGTTTTGTTTTATGTTGATTGTCAATTAATTTTTTTACTTAGTTATTAATTAAAACTCTAAAAAAGTAGAGTTCTCATAAAAGGTACAACTATGGATTTCTAAAGTTACCATACTATTTCTAAAGTATCTTTCTTTCTAAGATTTATAATAATAAACGCGCAATAAGTTCAGACGTAATGTAGGTATGTCCAGATATATACATACCACTTTGAATAAAACCAATTATAAAATAAACAAAAAAACTAAAAAAATAACACTCCCTTCCGTGTTTAACGAGTAAATATATTGTCTGTTTCATTCAGTGTGAATATACAGAAAGTTATAATTATGTTCAACCATTACCTTGATTCATTTTAGCAGATCACAATCAATAGATGTTAGTGACAAAGTTAATTCAGAGGAGTAATATGTTAACAATAGTTAAAATGTTTAACCGAAATATAATAAAATAAAACTGGACATTACCTATTTCCACCTCTAATTTTTTTCTGGAATTTCCTTGCAATGCTTCTGTTACTTTTTCACCACCAGCTGTATTTTTCTGGATAGCTTGCCCTCTTTCCAAACAAGTTTCTTTCGACTCTGATCTTTTCAAAAATCCACCATCGTCACTTTCCAATCCATTATCCGGTCTTTGATTAGACGCAAAAGCTATTGGCAATCCTGTTTCAAGGAGATTATTTTGGGAACCTCTCCTTGTATAGTTTGGTACTTGTTCTTGGTGTTGAAATCCACTACCTGAAAAGCAAATTGTACTTTATAAAAGTAAAGGATATGCTTTTAATACCAGTGCGGGTCTATATTAATAAAAAAAACATCTCAGCACAAAAATAAAACTAAATTATAAGGCGTAAACAAATCTAGAAGAAATACAAATTTAAATATACTTTTAGAAACTATTAAAAAAAATTGGTTGAAATTTTAAATATTTAAATTTTCAGTGCCCCACGTTGGGCGCCATATTTATATTAGTATTAGCAGTTACAAAAAAAATGTTTATGAGAATTTTTTTTAGAAATATACAGGGTCCGGCAATAGTGCGTCGGGCATCTGTAGCCCCTAGAATAAAAAACTTGAGAATTTTGTTTAAGTGCAAATCTAAAGTATGTACCAGGATGTATTTCAGGAAAATATTTTAACTTCTATAGGGTGGCTCAAAAAAGTGTGAGTGGACCTGGATGAATTTTTTTAAATGGAACACCCTGTATATTATTGCATTTTTGGCTTCCTTTCAGATCACTTTACATAACTCTAAGATATGAATAAATACATTTCGATAGTTTCAGAGATATTAAAAAATAAATGAAAAATATATATTTTTCAGCCCTTCTTATAAAAAAATATTAGAAATACAAGAACTGTTCTGAAATCAAAACTATACTAAGTATTTACTTTAGATGGTCTGTACTTACTTTGCTATAAATATGAAAATCTTAAATTATACAGTATGTTCAAAATTCTACGCCAAACTTTCTAAAATATAAAATAATTTTTCTTCGTTTTTTTTTAAATAGAACACCCTGTATATTATTTTTTCAATAGATGGAGAATTAAAAAATGAACATTTTTTGTATTTAGAGTATTTCAAAATTTTTAACGGTTTCGCAGATATTTGCGGTTTTATATTTCATATGGCATTTTCTACAGTAAATTTTTATCAAAGCCACCCAATGATTTTTCTCTCGTATTTTACCATTGAAAGCGCCATATGAAATAATACTGCGTGTATCTGCGAAACTGCTAAAAATTTTGAAATACTCTAAATACAAAAAATGTTCATCTTTAAACTCTCCATTTAATAAAAAAATAATATACAGCGTGTTCCATTTAAAAAAACAAAGAAAAATTATTTTATATTTTAGAAAGTTTGGCGTTGAATATTGAACATCCTGTATGATTTACGATTACCATATTTATAGCAAAGTAAGAACAGACCTTCTAAAGTAAATACCTCATATAGTTTTGATTTCAGAACAGATCTTGTATTTTTAATAATTTTTTTAAGAAGGGCTGAAAAATATATATTTTTGATTTATTTTTTAATATCTCAGAAACTATCGAAATATATTTATTTATATCTTAGGGTTATGTAAAGTGATCTGAAAGGAAGCCAAAAATGCAATAATATACAGGGTGTTCCATTTTAAAAAAAATCATCCAGGTCCACTCACACTTTTTTGAGCCGCTCTATAGAAGTTAAAATATTTTCCTGAAATACATCCTGGTACATACTTTAGGTTTGCACTTAAACAAAATTCTCAAGTTTTTTATTCTAGGAGCTACAGATGTCCGACGCACTATTGCCGGACCCTGTATATATGAACTACTAATGGTATGCATCGGTCCTGTTCGCCGGTGGGCCCCAATGGGTTGTAGATTGAGGATAACAAAAAAATACTTACGTCTTTATAATCTTTTTCGGCGCAATCCAGTTTTACAAAAATTTTCTGAAACTGATAGTTGAAAACTAATAAACCAAACTTAGAAGATTAATGTTACTTTTTTTGAGGAATTATAAAGATAAAACGATGAGACAAACTAATAATTAAGTCTAACGAAATGTAAAATAGAACAATTCAAAGATATTGAACAGATGAATTTACAAATTTTTAATTTGTAAAATGAATTTTAAATACCTATGGTCGAAATATGCATTGTTTTGAATAGTTCTTATTAACTATTACGTATAATATCTGGCAATCTTGGTACAAAAATTTGGGGACTTTGGTTGTATTAAATATTAAATTAAATTAAATAAAAATTGTTATATTAAAAATTAAAAAAATATATCAAAAGAAGACAGCTTTCTACAACACATTTTATATAATAATTTCTAAATAACTTACAGAGGGCAATACCTTAGAACAGGTCTACAAGTTCAAATATTTGGGGTCCTGGATAGTTAACACTTTGAACAACGACGTGGAAATAAAAACCAGACTAGAACAAGCGGGATGTGCATTTTTAAAAATGAAGAACGTTTTCCAGAACCCCAGATTGGACCTTGAGTTGGGAATTAGGCTCGTTAAGTGTTATGTTTGGTCAATCCTATTACACGGAGCAGAAACATGGATACTGAAAGTTCAACAGATGAATCGCCTCGAATCGTTAGAAACATGGATATATCGAAGCATAACCAACATGACATACAGGCCAGAGACATCGATTTGTGACGTCACCGCACTAGTCGGGCTTTTGTATTGTGCCATATGGTACTGCATATAGTTTTTGCATAAATAATAGTATTTATTGATAGTTTTGCCAGATATAAATATGAAAAATATTATACAGAAAGGTATTAAAAAATAATATTAACATTATATCGCGTTAAAGTAATTGAATAGCATTAAAATTTAGATCTAAAGCACGAATATTAATATGAAATAAACTACAGCATAAGATGAACAAAATAAAATCTAGATAATAAAAAGCGTGTCCTAAAATTGTGTTAGCGAGTATTTAGCAACTAGTAATAATATACCTGTGATAAAAAGTTTCCAAATATTAAAAAATTTGAAAACTATACGTTTATCGACGAAGTTAAGAAAATGTATTGTATATGATAACGACAGAATACATTTTAAAGTTTAATTAAAAATAATTGTAAAAATTTGCCTAACATATCTAAAAAATGTGGATATCAGATAGAATTAACTAAAAACATTAAGTAATTTGTAGTTCGATGTTCATCATGTAACCATCTCCATAAATCGTCAATAAAAAGATAAAGATATTATTTTTTTTATATAAAATACTGAAATAAAGTACAAATTTATTTAATTTCTTTAAAATATATTGCCATTTCATAATAATAATAATATATATTTCATAATAATAGTAATACTTTTCAAAATTTATTTCATCCTGAATTTCCAAATCTTGTTTTCTTTCATCGGGACGTTTTCTCTTTATGGGAACATGCACAGAGGGTCCATAAGAGGGTTGATTTGGAAAAATTGTAGGCACAGTATGTTCTGTAGATTTTGGACGTGACCTAGTTACAGTTAATATTGTTGGGAAAGAGAATGTAGACAGATCCTGAGGACTTATTATAATTGCTGCTACAAGGCACAGACACAGAACAATGTCGCGGAATTTTTTATTTCACAAAGTAAAAATAAAGAAACGAAAACTGTTTTACATAAAAATACACGTCACTTACGTTGGTTTAACATTATACACTAACACTAACGCTATTAATTATGTTTTTATATAAATTCCACAACTTTTTCCTAGCCCGGACACACAGCCGGCATCGCCGGTGTTACTATAATTTTTACCGAAAGTATGTTTTTTTTCGCGGGTACGATGTTATGAATCGGATCTAGATAGTTCACTATTCACTCGAAATTATTTAGTATAATTTTATTAGCATAGAAACGAGTAATAAACACAGATTTGTTGCGAAACTAATGAAAACAATTGGTTTGTTTACGACTACTAGGCCTTGAATATGACGTTAGCCACGATCGAAGTATGCTTAAAATTCCATGGACAGCCCATATCACACATACCGAAGTCTACAACAGAATAGGCAGAGAATGAGAATTGCTCAATATAATAAAAATAAGAAAAACATCATACTTAGGACATATATTGAGAAATAAAAAATACCACGTCTTACAATTGATAGTTAAGGGTAAGATTGAAGGAAAGAGAGGTCTTGGCAAGAAGAAACTATCTTGGTTGAGAAACGTCAGAAACTGGACTCACCTAACTTTTGAAGAACTCATAAGGAAAGCCGAGAATCGTGAAGATTTTACCAATGTGATCGCCAACCTCCACGAAAGAGACGGCAAGAAGAAAAAAGAAAAAGAAGAAAGAGAAGAAAATATCTTACCCATATTATTGCTTCTGACTTCATCATCCAAAAGTAACTGAGGATGTGAAGATGTTCTTCTAGCTTCAAAACTACCTCGTTTCAAGTTATCTCTTTCCAATTGTTGAGCGCTACGCCTCTCAAAAGCTGCCAAGACAGCTTGCCTGTCTTTTGGAATTTCATTACCAATTGGTAGCTGAAATATTTTATTACAACGTTAAAAACCAAATGTATGGATAAGTTATAAAATATGTATACACTTACTGGTCGATTATTTTGGATTTGTCTGAATCTCTGATCAACTATACTTTGAGGCTCCTGAACAACTCTATGTGGGGATCTCATTATAGCTCCACTGCCATAATTCTGATAAGTCATTTGTTCTTCATATCTGGTAGCTAGTATTTCCTGAGACCTACCAAAAATTTTCTTAGCTAATTAATTTTATACATCTGTTTGAATATTTTTGACAAGTTGAGTCAATTACGTCTAGAGACTGACCTCACCAAAATTATCACCGATTGTCAATCCCCAGCCGTCCTTGACGCCATTTTTTTCGATCATACGGTATTAGATTATTACTAAACATACAATATATTCACTAGAATTAACTAAAATTCCATTTACCTTGCTTGCATTAACTGTGAATACTGATGAGGCGATCTTGGTTTGGCTTGAGCTTGCTGCTGAGCCATCATATGTTGCTGAAGAATGTGCTGGTTATAGTGATGTTGATTAACAGGCTGTCCATAATCTGTTAAATAATTATATTAGATACATTATTAATCAAAAAAATGCTAGTAGTAATAGTTGGCAATTCTTGTCAGTAAACAATCTATTTTATTATCTGATTTTCTTGATAATTCACTTTTTATTTATTTAAACATGATTCTTTTACCTTGGATATTTGGAGTTTTTTCTTTGCCGCCATCTTCTAGTATTTGGGATCTTCGCAGTTCTTGCATAGAATTGTTAAGGCTTGTTTTTTCAGTTTTACAATCATCTTTCTTAAATTTTCCAGAAATAATGTCCTTGATAGCATGATAGGTCTTGGTTACACCCCTAAAATTAATCATAAATAATTATATTATCTAATTAATATTAGAAATTTATTAAGACATAGATCTGGCAGCGTTACGTTCAGTAAAAAAACAAGGAAATATTCTAAAAAAATGAGATAAACTAGCAGCTCTAAAAACATTTCTAAATCAAACAGAAAAAAATCAACATATTTTTTGGCGAAAACAATTCAAAAATATATGTAATCAATTAAAATATTCGCACCCTGTATATTCGTAAACATTTACCTTGCATTAGCTGATTTATCTATATCGGTTTTAGTAGCAATGGATTGTTGCAGGGAAATTTGTGAATTTTGTTCTTCTGGAACTTTTTGTTGATATGGAGATTTCGTGGAATCCCAAGCGTTTTGTTTAGATGCACTGTTGCCATATATGTCCGGTGCAACGTTGTACGGTTGTCTGTAAGCTGTACTTTCTGCTGATTGTGACACGGATTGAGTCAATCCAGGGTGAGTCTGTAAGAAGAAATATATTCAGTATTCATTTCTGTATTACAGATACAGAAAGTAATCCATTTTTAAATTACACAGGGTATATCAGTAAATTAGAGTTTTTAAAAATAGTTTTGTCAGTATACAGAGTGATTCAAATTTACTTTCAAACTAAAGTTGTATATATTGATAAATTTTCTGCACCTTCTAAAGTAATAAAATACCCAATCATTTGTATTTTTTAATTGTAAATATTTTATAATAGTGTTTTTTGCAAGGTATACTGAAATATATTATTTTGCATAGTATATACGAGGTGAATCTAAACTTGATGATTTATTTTTACTCACTATTTTAAAAGAAACATGATAAAGGGTAAATTCAATAATTAAAGGGTGCGCCCTGTATATTTGCGAAAATATTGTAAAAATGTGTGCATCCATTGCCTGTATGTTACACAAAAAAGATTGGAATGAAATTCTCAAATATAGAACTTAATATGGAACTTTTTCTTAACACTAGGCCATCCTGTATCACAACGTATATATTAAAATAATATTCTTCAATTTCTTCAAATCTAACACATACTGAAAACACTCACCTACAATTTCTCAAAAAACCAAAATAAAATAAATAAGAAAAATAGTTATAAAAATCATAACGCAAAAATACAGGGTGGGGTGGTCCGAACTGTATTCCGGAAACTTCGGCAGCATATTCTGCAGATAAAAATATGTAAAAAAGTTCATATAAATGTATGTCCTAAAACGCTTAGTTTCGAAGATACAGGGTGTAGAAGTTTCATTTTTATTTCGATTTTCTCCAAATAATTTCTGAAGTAACATATTTGGATGAAAATTAGTGTCTGGGAGTTTTTTGATATGAGAAATCTGATTTTGATGTCAATATGACTCCTACTTGTAGAGGGCGTCACCTACATATTTTTTAACTGGTTTGAAGAGTAATAACTTTTTATCCGTACCTGTATAAAACTACTAAGTAAAAAAATATACATTTATGGAGTTTTTTACGTAAAAAAGGTCTCTTGGTAAAAATCGCTACGAGTAATGGTTCTCAAGATATTTGGAATCGAAATTATCAATACCTATCATCATTGACATAATTAAACATGTTGACCGAATAGTAATTAGACTGAGATCATAAATTTGAAATGTTTTTGTGCCAAAATATCAACAGAAATTGTACTCAATCAAATAAATATCATCATTTTTTCGCAAACAAATTTATGATTAATTTAAAAAAATATAAATTTCACAAATTTATTATTTCAATCAAATAACTATCTATACTCAACGTGTTTATTTTATGTCAATTATGACATGTATTGACTATTTACATTCTAAATATTTTGATAACGGTTGCTCGTAGCGATTTTTACCAAGAGACCTTTTTTACGTAGAAAACTCCATTCACTCAGTAGTTTTATACAGGTACGGACGAAAAGTTATTACTCTTCATAGCAATTAAAACACATGTAGGTGGCGCCCCCTACAAATAGTAGTCATATTGACATCAAAATCAAAATTCTCCTATCAAAAAACACCTAGACACCAATTTTCATCTAAATATTAACGTTACTTAATAAATTATTTGGAAAAAATCGAAATAAAAATGAAACTTCACCACCCTGTATCTCCGAAACTAAGCATTTTAGGACATACATTTATACGAACTTTTTCATTTATTTTTATCTGCAGAATATGCTGCCTAAGTTTCCGGAATACAGTTCGGGCCACCCTGTATATGAAAATATTTTTAAAATTGTCTGAATATTTTATAAAAAAAATTGGTGTCAAAATCTCAAATAGTAAACTTAATATATTAACATATACCCTGTATATTAAAAAAATATTCCTGTACATTTTAACACTTACTGAACTGGAATGATTCAAAGCAAACTCTACCATTTCACTGTTTCAACCACTAACTCAACAATGTTTCAAAAAACCACAATAAAATCGTTAAAATAAATAAGAAGAATAATTAAAAAAATCCTAACGCTATAACTATACGAAGACGACTGAATGAAGAATACCTAACTGACTAGCCAGTCTTAAGTTTGATGGCCTCCTGAGGCCTTTGTGTTCCTTCGAATGTGGATTGTTTGGCTGTGAAACACGCCAGCCACATCCTGCATATTTACATCCTCTTTAGTATTCCGCACGGCACATCGGCATGTAGAAAAAAAGATTCGGTTTTTAATGACAAACCCAACGTAGCTGTAACGATACAGTTCGAGCTCATTGAGAATAAACATTATGTATCTCGTGTGTTCTCACGTCATATTTCTTCAGTTTTATACCGGAAGGAGCGAATAATTATGTAGTTGGGCGGTTGCATTAGGTTTGCGCAGATATACCTACCTACTGTGCATTATGTGATATTATACAGGATATACAGGGTGGTCGAAATTGGTCTGTTTTGGCAGAAAAAAACTAGTGATGGGATCACTAGTTTTCACGAAATTTCGCTCGAGTACTCGATTATTGAAATAACCGACATCGCTCGATTATGAACGGGCGATGCAAGTGATGCGAGTGAGTGGATCGAGGCAGGGCCAGTCAACTGAGATATACGACCTTGAACGATCTGTTTTTGGGGTAGTAATTTCCTGGGGCGCTAGATGGCGTATTTTTATTTTAATTTTTCTAGTTGCCTAACAATTGCGTACAAAATTGTTTTTTGCCTAATAGGCCTATTAATTATGTTCTGTCATTGTTCTGTATGTCAAATCAGTTTTCCGTTTCCGGCTTCCTCCTTCCTCTTCAGTTGTATTTTGCAATTGAATGGAGATGTGCGTTTCGCTGTTTTCTGGTTGTTTGGCTGTGTTTTTTTGTAATCTTCATTTTACAATCGTGATTTTGTATTTTTGAATTTTTTTGAACTTTGTTTTGTGTTTGATTTTTAAGATCTTTATTAAAGGTAAGGTTTAAGTTAAAGGTCTTTGATTTATCTAACAATTTTATTTAATAATCCGAGAAAGTGAGGTGAGGTAACCTAACCAAGTCCAAATATTCGTGAATTTTATTTTTTAACAATGTAATATTTACAATGTCATATATTTTTACAAAAAAAAATTGATCAACTCCATATTTTTGTACATAAACTCCACAATGTGATATTACACAATTGTTCAAGTACATATGTAAAAAATACACGTAAATAAAACATTGTTTCTAATGGACGTCACTTTCTCTTTGTATTCCAACGATATTTGTTATGTGTTCTTAAATCTGGTACTAAAATAAATATTATACTTTTTAATCTGTTGTTTTATTTGTTTGTAAAATGTTTCATGGTATAATTTTCTGTAAATTAAAATAAATTATTTATTGTAGGTTTTTATGCACATAAAATGATATAAGCAAACCATTTAACACTTTACAATAGTTTAACCTGGTTTAACCTTTATATATAAATCCTTGTTTTTTTACCATTTGACTTGTTTGCCAACTTGGGACCAATCAGATGACTACACTTTATTTTGTAGAAATCTGATTGGCTCTAACTGGCGAACAAGTCAATACGTCTTGCTTAAAAATAAATTGCATCTATTTAAATTTGCCGCCACCTTTGTTACTATCCTGGGTGGCTAGATGGCGCCACTTGAATATACAGATTACAGATTTCTTTACAAATTTGAAACCGTTTTGAAACTAAAAAATGCATGGGAGTTAGCGTTCTTCTTTAGTGTGTTCTGTGGATCGAGGTACAGGGATATAGCGGTCATAAATAGAAAAAAATACATTAATAAGTAATTTGTAGCCCAGCTGCTTTATTTATGGCGAAAAGAACAATATCTATATATTTTTATAATTTTAATTTACGCCCCTTCTTTAAAGGGTGAACGTGGGGGATGGGTTTTGGGAAATGTTTGGATTGGGCGAGCAAGTGAAAGGTGAAAGAGATAAGTTTATAAATTCTTTAAAAATCACTTCTTGTATCACTAGCTGTTTGTTTAGACCTTTCTTAATAAAAACAATCAAGTTCCCCCGTGATAAAATAAAATAACAAGATACTAATTTAACAATGGGATCCAAAAAATATATTATATGCGTGCAGACGAAGAAGTGTTTATAATTTAATTAAAGTTTGTAAAAAAGTTTCATTTTGTAAATCAAGTAATATCCATACTTAAAAGAAACTTTAAACAATACTAAAATAAACCTGAAGTACCTATAAAATTAAAAAAATATACATTTCACAAAGCAAAAAAACTAAACCACCATTACAACTCTGAACGTAAAAGTAGAAAATAATATTTATGTAAGAAAACATATTCTCAACCAACTCAGTAATATCTTCTATAAAATGAGTTCTTTGGCTTCATCATCCAGCTCTAAACATTCACTTTTTTTCCACATATGCCGAAATGCAGCCAAATAAGGGTCAGAGGATATCAGGAGACAATTAAAAACATCTTGATTCGTGGCATACTATTTTCGACTATTGTCTTTTCTGAAAAAACGTAACTTAAAATTGTGTTGCGGTCTATTGAGAAACACGGACTACTTCAAATAAATATATCGCATGAATAGGCAGAATTCGGCAGACCATTTTTTGTTTATAAACAAATACATTCATCAAGCAATATTATTTGCGATAAGAGGAAACGTCAATAAGCGTCGATAGTATTTTTTTGGTATTTTGAAAACTATAAAAATATGGATAAAAACGACGTTTAAAAAAACATAAAAAAATAATACATAATAATAATTTCAGAACTTTCTTAGTAATAGTCCAAAAGTAGAGAAAACCTTTTCTTTAAAATATAAAAAATAATATTCATCTCGGGTTTGTTAAAGCCTCCAGGAATATTTAGATACTTATTTGCTATCACTAAGCGAAAAAGACAATTAAATGTGATGGGTTTAAAAAAAAAACACGGTTACAAATTTTATTCAAAACATTTGTTGTTGTTTTTCTTTAAACCAATGCTACTACTATTCAAAAAGTTTAACAGTGTGTCATATAGTTTAATTTTTCCAAAATCACTTATGGCC